TGACTAATCACTGCAGCTCTATATAGCTGTACCTAAAACTACCTCTGACTAAATCTAATCGATTTAGTGTGCAATCAATTCTAGATAGTTTTGGTCTTTTTGTTTGTTGCAATAGAAAATGTACTAAAGGGTGACATTGTCAAAGTGTGCTAATATGGGTTACTTTTTGTCTTGTCTGTAGCTGCGTGGGGGGTCCAGAGTACTCGCCCGGCCAGTCTCAGTCTCCCTCTTCAACAGACCTGAAGCCACAGTGGAGCAGCAGGTCAGTCCTTTGACCTTCAATGATCCTGCACCCAATTGTCTTTAAATAGCTGCTTACAACACACCTGACAAATCCTGGGACGTGCATAGGGGTGGCAGATGTTGATCACATCTGTAACTGTATATTGCAATGGTTATAAACATCTGGGTATAGTATTTTTTTTTTTTTTTTTTTAAAGGGATTGCAAAATATCTGTATGTTGTAAAATGGTTCTGCAGTATTAAATAACATCGAGCATATCCATGAACAAAGATGTGATGGTTGGTGCTTTACTAACAATTTTGGTGTGTGCCAGCACTCCTCATATCCCATTTGAACATTCACTGTAAACGTACTAAGTACTGTATAGCAGACTGACAGTGGATACGCTTGAAAAAATGAAATGCATAAATGGCATTGACCTCGGCTCCTGGCTGATGCAGTAGTGGCATGTACTTAGCTGTTTTTTTCTCCCCTCACAGGCCCTGTTGCCAGTCAGCCAGTCTGCAGTCCTGACCCGCTCCTTCCAGACCAGCGCTGTCTCCCGGGACATCGATACTGCCGCCAAGTTCATTGGTGCTGGTGCTGCCACAGTGGGTGTGGCCGGCTCAGGAGCTGGAATCGGAACAGTGTTCGGCAGCCTCATCATTGGCTATGCCAGGTAAAGGTTTTAATTCAGTTTGTATTTGTATAGTGCCAAATCATAACAGGAGACACTCTTCAAATAGACGCCCCTCCCTCCTCAGGGGGCCAGGGGGTGAGTGAGTGAGACAACCATGATCCTCCATCTATGTACAACCTCAATCCATGGGAATCTGTGATTAGCAAGCACAAATTCTGGGGAAGAAGTGAAGTTAGTAACCTGCATTAATGTGACATGAATGTGTGCAGAAAGAGAGGAGCTCAGTGCATCAAGTCTCCTGGTAGCCATGGCTTATAGCAGGGTTCAGGGCTCACCTGATGCAGCCCTAACTATAAGCTTTATCAAAGAGGAAGGTCTTAAGCCTACTCTTGAATGTGGAGAGTACGTCTGCCTCCTGAACCACAACTGGAAGCTCATTCCACAGGAGAGGAGCTTGGTAACTGAAGGCTCTGGCTCCTGTTCTACTCTCTACAGAGACTATAGGAACCATATGTAGCCCTGCATTCAGAGTAGTGTTCTGGTGGGGCAATAGGGTACTAGCAGCTCTTTAAGATATGATGGTGCCTGACCATGAAGAGCTTTGACCATTTTTTTCACTCATGGTAAATGATACTCAGCACCCATTTGGGTTATCCACAGCACCCTTTAATGTTGCTAACTGGGGACAGCAGACGGTTTTTCAAATCCCTGATATCAGTTTTAGAGCTAAGTCTTCACTAATGTGAGAATTTCTGAAGCTCATTGAAATGGAGTAGAGGCATAATAAAATAGAGGCAGCCCTGAGAGATGGCTTTTTTAAAATTGTTTATATTAAATCAGTGCAGACTTAAACACAACAAAGTACGCACCAAAGAAATTTCCACATGTATAAACCCAGGTGTACAGCAGGTCTAGTGTACCTTTCCTCTATGCATCCCAATAAACGTGAAATTGACCGCATGTGTACAGGTGTTTTCCCTCAGGAGATGGATCTGTGTGCCTCGCTTCCTGTGCGTCATGGATATGTGCCCCTTATTAGTAGAACGGTGTCATGCGTTAACATCTCCATGTCCCAGGAACAGAAAACTGCTGTTTCCCTTGCAATCCTGATGTTAGTGCAGTGGGTATTTCACCATCACATACCAAGGTGAAAAGTGGGCAGTGCTTGATGTGCTGCACATGGAGATCAGTGTCAACCAAGGGTCAACCACACACTTGTATGCTATTGGTTGAGGCTGCGACTTTAGCAGTCAAAGTTCACCAATGTTGAACTTCACACGACGCTAGAAATGAAGCTGCTGCTTTGCTCACATAGAAGTGATGTTCTGCTATTGACAAGCCAACTGCAGGGGATGGCAACCCACCACTACAGAGTGGCTAGGCTGAAGAGTGTCCAGACACTACAGAAGTGCTGTCTGAAACACAGCGCTACTCGTATCCCTCAATTCACAGCCCAGGATTACAATATCTCAAAGTCATGAACCCCCCCACCTCGCTCGCTCTGGAAAACTCCTGACTGGAAAGACCAGCAGTCTTGTTTTAGAAATTGCAGACTGGTCCACTAATTATCCCAGTTTGTCACAGCTGTGGCGTTTGATTTCCCCTGCTCTCCAGTTTTTCGGTTTGATTGACCCTGTTTATTGGCGACTCTCAGCCCAGTGTGTAAACTAACTGCCGGCTTTTTAGGCAGAGTCCCCAATTAGCAGGGTCACAGACCAAGGAGGGAGCCAGAATGAAAAGTAAATGTGTTTTTTATATATATATTTTATTTTTTTTATGAATCACATGAAACTCTTGCAGAAGGCATCTAAAACAACCAGATTACTGCTTAGTGTTTTCTCATTTGTTGTAAATGCAGAAGAATGACTTTAATTTGTTTTCAGTGTTCGCTCACTCTGACCTTCTTGGAAAACATTGAAAATGCGTGTCTTGTGGAAAAACATAAGCTGTGTCCACAAGTTTTAGTTGTATACATGAACAGTTAATTGGCTGCATATCTGACTTTGTGCACTTCTCCTCCACAGGAACCCCTCCCTGAAGCAGCAGCTCTTCTCCTACGCCATCCTGGGCTTCGCTCTGTCTGAGGCTATGGGTCTCTTCTGTCTGATGGTGGCGTTCCTCATCCTCTTCGCCATGTAAACCTGGAAACACACGCCCACAGCTCCCTTCATGCACCCGTTTCCTCCCCGGTCTCGTTTCCTTCCTTGCTCCCTTCTTCCTCCCTTCCTTCCATCCAGAAGGGGGGTTTCCAGAACGGGAACTCTGAATGAGCTGGTTGGCCATTCCAATCAATGGAAAAATATTAAAGGAAAGATATTACCATCTGAGGGTAACAAACCTCCAATCCTACATTTTTATGTTCCTTTGCTTATTTTTGTTTTTCAGAAGTTTTATGTAAGACCTCACTTCGGTTGAAATAATCTGTCCAGAATAAAAGATTGGGATAACTAAAAAGAGTCTGCAGTGTTTTAATCTTTCTTTGCTAACAAATGAACTGTTGCATATGTACTATGAAAAACCAAGAGGAGGTTGTTGGAAAAGTCCCTCAATGTTCTCCCCTTTACTAAATGACACACGTTTGCAGCCACAAGTGTTTTTGTGAAGTGGGTTTTTATGAATTCTGACAGAATTAAGATTCCCCACTAGGACCTCCTGTAAAAACTTTACAATTTAGATTATATTGTGGTGATAGACAATGGCAAATTAGTTGCTAGTTGTGGAGAGGATTAAAAAATGTCCTGCTTTGCTACATTTACGGTTCACCTCAATTGTATAATTTTCACATGGGTACTTAAAAGTTACGTTTACTATTTTCAAATGTGCTATTATATCTATTATATTAATCTTACATAAGATTTACATTTTTACTATTTTTTGTTTGGGCTTGTATGTCTATTATTGAGTGACTGCTGAAGATGGATGGGGAAACATGGGGTGAGAGGGGCCGACATGCAGCAAAGTGCTACGGGTTGGAATTGAACCGGAGCCGCTGCACTACGGACTCAGCTTTAGGGAACGCAGGGGAGCCACTGAGCATAGATTTCATTCACTGATGTGTGTATAACTGATTGTGTTCATAGGTTTCACTCTTAATCTGCAGTTCAGACAGTTATGGAATAACTAAATATTACCAGAGAGGGACCCCAGAGACCACATCAAATATGGGTCCACGGTCTGATGTGTATCAATTTAGGGGCCCTTCACACCAAGAAGGTTGAGAACCACTAGTTTAAAGGACCCCACTTGTGTTTTGGATGTTTCAACATTACACTGGGTTAAGCTTTTCCTTCCACAGTCTTTAGTTTCCTTTCCTTTGATATCATGTTATGAAAAAACATTTGAGTTGTAAAACTTGACTGTCACTTCATTAGGGATGCAACTATTTCCAATCAATTACTTTGCCCATTACTTCCTTGGTTTACAGTTTGGTTCATAAAATCTCCAAGCACAATTTCCAGTGTCAGGTGTCCTTAATGCAAAACCTAAACATATGTTTTATGGTGATATAAAATGGGAGAGGGAGCAAATCCTCACATTTGTCTAATCTATTTGGTTCATTTCTAGAATGTATCACATGAACTGCTTGTCTGTAAATAGGTTGACTTTCATAGTGTAGTTAAATGAGTAGAAACAAATGGCTGCAACAACACATTGAACATCATAAAAATAAATATCCTACAGGAAACATACAGTAGTAGTGTCAATAGTATGTGACTGTAGGACGATATTACAAGTACAGTATTGGTGGTTATACCAGATTCTGTCACTGTAATGTTCAGTCATAATTTATGACTTATATTTTGCATATCTTAGCAGTGATTGATCTGGACGTCACATCAGAAGAGATCAGTTTTGGTAGACTATTGTAGTATCACTGGGTTTGACCCCCAAAGGCCTCCATAAAAAGTACAAAAAAAAGGGCAAAGGTTGTTAGCAAACTTACCACAGTGCATGGATAAACCATGATACTTCAAAGCAAAATAATGTAAACGGATTACCATTCATTGCCGATTTTCCCATAAATACTTTGATTTAATAATAACACGTTCATGTTCCGCGTACCACCACACGTAATATTGCAACAGAGCAATCTTACTTTGAAAGTTCCCACCGGATGTCCCGTGTTCTGTCTCTTCAGTCGGTCTGACTGCTGAGAAATCAGATCCTGAAGTTGCGTTGTGTGAATGGACTGGAGGGGATGTGGTCGGTTTAAAACCAAATATTGTGACACGATATTTCTTTAAACCTTTCCCAACCGGACGGTGGGCTGCTTCACTAGCTGTAGCGAGGTGGACGAGGTGACTCTGCTGACGACTTTACACTTTTTTGGAGGCCTGGGGGGAAAAAAACACACAAGCTAGCGATAAGTAACGTTAGCCACCATGTCGTGGGAAGAAATGCCTTGTTTTCTGGCCTCGCCTCTGCGCTCGGCTCTACCCCGTTTTTCTGCTCTCTGATCCCACTGGACAAAACAAACAGAGGTAACTTTCGCACTCAGCTGTCAATGCAGCTAACAGCTAGCCTTATAAATTAGTCAGCACCAACGGTTTTACTCTAGCTTAACGTTACTAGCTTTCGAGCCATGGCGGACAGCTTTGGAGAGCAGTCCAGCGGCGGTGCCCTTGGCTTAGGCGTTACCGGACAGGGCAGCGGGGCTCCGCTGCTGCCGACTTTGGGCATCTCTCTCCCGGGAGGACACTCGGCAGCCAGCGGTGCTCACTCCAGCGCTAACCCGGCCTCCCCTCCTCCAGCCGCGGCCGCGCAGAGTGGCCTAACCGCGGTGGTGGCCCCTATGTCCGCTGTCACTGCTACCCCAGCCGGTTTTGGGAACACATTCAGCCCTGGCTCCGTGCCACCCGTCGTGGCCGTGTCTCCGACCCTACATGCCTCCTCGGCTCTACCCGGTGTCGGGCTAGGGGTCGGCGGGGTGGCCGGGGTGGCAGGAGCGGGCCTCCTGTCCCAAATCCACGCCACTTCCTGGGACCCGACCCTCAGTACGGACTGGGACAATGAGAAGGCTTCCCAGCAGTGCATCCTGAGGATAAAGAGGTAATATAAACATTTGGGAAGTGGGAAAACAGTTTTGACAGTTTAATTCAAGGCCCTGAAATCTCAATGTGTAAAAAATCGAAAGTGAAAGCTTTCCATAAAGTTTCAGCCATCTTTAGAAACCTTTAAGAGACTATGCAAATGACGGTAGATTTCAGGAAACTTACACTGTAATGTATTATTAATACACAGACCACATGTTTAACTTGAGATATAAGGACATTTAAACAACAATGATTACTATGATGACTGTCTTTTTACAACTGTCACGTTGCTCAGTTGGCCCAAATTACAAAAATACACATTTCACTTCCTCGTTGTGGGATCTAGCCAAGTAGATTGTTTTGGATTTTCCTGCTTCTGTAGTATTGAGATATGAATCTATGATTTTCTTTGCTGCTATCTTGCACAATGAAGGTGGAATTTTATCTGTGGTCCTTAGAGCATTGAAAACTCAACAAAAGCAGTGTTACCGGTACACAAGAGTTCAGTGTATAATAGTCCCTGTGATAATTGTTTACACCAAAGTTGTGCTCAGGCCAGGGACAGATCTCTGTGTACAATCTCTCCATCTCTACCATGACTTTTTCCTTTCGGGAACCTCATTTGTGTCCCTCCCTGTCTTTCTCTGTCTCTGCAGGGATATCATGTCCATCTACAAGGAACCTCCACCAGGGATGTTTGTCGTCCCTGATCCTCAAGACATGACTAAGGTAAGTCTGAGGTCCCCTGTGACGGTGACACCACGGTAATTTCCACTGTCTCATATCTGGATTTCAATCTGGATGAGATCAGGTGATAGAACGACAGCTCATTTCACTATCGCTGCAGACACAGACACTGTAGTGGCTGTTCCTACAGAGGGCTTACTGACATGTTACACTTGGGAAGGGTAAAGATCACATGAGAGACGGATGAATTTACATCTTTTCAGCATCTGGATGCATTTACTCTTAGCTTTTTTGATATCCAGTAGTTATCCTATCCAGCCAAGGCTCATGACTTAACAAAGTGGGGTCTGTGACCAGCTTGATCAATGCTTCTCATTGATTGTGGGCAGGACCAAAGGCTCCAAACAATATCTGTAAAGCCACAGCCATATGCTGTTTATACTGATGTGCTTGTGCTTTTCCTAATGCTACTCTGATAGTGTGGTGGGGGTGGCTGTATACAAATATTCGCTTAATTAAAGGATCTTTTTGCGGTGTCCAGCACCCCATGTACCAAGGCGGAGTTCTTGCTGCAGCAGCCATCGGTTCGACTCCAAACTGTGGCCCTTTGCTGTGTGTCATCACCGCTTCTCTCCCTACTTTCTTGTCACTCTTTAGCTATCACTATCGATTAAAGGCCATAAAAGGCCCCCAAAATGACATTTTAATATATTATAACTTGGGTTTGGTCTGAACCATATGCTCAATAAAAATCTTAATTTAGTTTTTTCAAATGTGGGAACAATTCATGACCGAATGTTTTACTTTTCAAGAAAAACACAAGAAAACTAAAATATTATTAAAGCCACATGTTTTTACTACTGTAATAAATACAAGACCTGTACCACCTGCATGACTGTTTAAGTTATTTGCTGTCAGATGCTTCAGCAAAGTAAAGTGCAGTGTAATAATCACTTTCAGAACAGAGAGAGCAGGAACGTCCACACACTAATCCATCTGCTCTTGCTGTTTGTGTTTTGATAAGACACCAGCCTGATATTATGTGTGACCTGGCCAGATGTTATGGACAAACTTCAATATGCAGGTTCTTCTTCATTCAGAAAATAGAATGTGCACACTGGGCCTTTTGACTCGTAACCAGAGATAATGCCTCGTCAACACACAGAGCACAGATCAGTGTGCCGAGTCTTTTTCAGTCTGTCCCTCTCATAGGTGCGACTGCTAAAGTCACTGTGAGTTAGCCGAGCCAGCTAGCCACACTATAATCACAAGCTTTCAGATGATCAGACAAATTGAAAACAAACTCCAAGGTTAGGTAAATGTACTGTATTTGGACCGTAAACCAAAGACGTGGAAGGAGGCAACCCACGCTATCCTTACTAGCTCGGCCCCTGGCTTTTTTTTTTGTTGAAGAGTTTGGTCTCTGAGATTGACAGTGTTTTGTGAACAACATACCAACACACACTCCTAATGGACTGCCCCATTAGGGTGTGTGTGTGTGTGGTTGAGTGACAGAGAGCAAACGGCAGAGGAAAAGGGCAGCAGTTTGTCAGTGTGTTAAGTCTGCAGCTTCTCCAACTAAACTATATCTCCTGTGTGTTTGTGGTTTCCCAACCGCTGGAAGAGTGAAGGGCATTGCTGTGTTGAAGACAATGTTTGGCAGTTCAATGCGGGTGTGCATAGAGGGGAGGGTCTATTCACACATGGTCAGTTGTCTTTGTGTGTTTGAGAGAGCGACATAAGGAGCTGGGCAAGGAAGGGGCTGGCCAATCAATGCGCTGCCCGCAGCTCTACAGTCAAATAAGATATAACCGATTTTAAATAGTAAGAAAAATAGAAAATCAATATGTGGCAGTCAGTGTTGATGTTTTGGTGGTAATAAATCAATGTATGGGAAACACTGTGATCTCTCTTTGTCAGTGTTTATCACTATCACTGTATCTCTGTATCTCTGCGTCACTGTCTCTCTGCTTGACAATTCAACATACAGTCTCTTTAGAATATGAACACTTTTAATAACAATAACAGTAACATTAATCTTTGGTCATTTTTACAGAAGAAAAGATGAACTGGAAATGGTCCAACTAAACTGAGCCATCTCCATGACAACCTAACAAACTTGATCTAAATCTGATGAAGACCATTAGTTGTGGGTGACAGCTCTGGAAAAATCTAACAAGCGCACATTGAGTGAAGATTATTTTGTCCAGTAAATTGCTTTATTTATTACAGGTGTTTAAATTATTCATAGATTGTTTGTGAGAAGCAGCGAGTTTGTTGGGCGGTATCAGGGTCTTCTCCAGCATGTGTCACACTTTGACTGCCTTGATGGGGGTTTCCACTTCAACTAGAGTTGAAACCACACTGGGAACTACGATTAACAAAAAGGGAAGGAGTGAAGTGTTGAGGTCATGGAATCCCTTGAACTTTTTCTCTCTTTTCTACATGTCGTCCTCACATGTGGATGTTGTCGTATGTATTCCAGGATCTACGTACCCCTCTGATGAGCTCACTCAACCTTTTCCTTTTTCTTTCATTTCCTGCAGATACATGCCCTGATCACAGGGCCGTTCGACACACCATATGAGGGCGGCTTCTTCCTCTTCTTGTTCCGCTGCCCCCCAGACTACCCCATCCACCCACCACGGGTCAAGCTCATCACCACCGGACACAACACTGTCCGCTTCAACCCTAACTTTTACCGCAATGGCAAGGTCTGCCTCAGCATCCTGGGGTAAGTCAGGGTTCATTTATTTCATAGTTTCCATAAAGGATGGTTGGTCATGATGAGAAACAATTAGTGTGTGTTAATACACTGTAAACTACTACCGGTGTATTGTGCTATAACCTGTGTGTGTGTGTGTGTGTGTGTGTGTGTGTGTGTGTGTGTGTGTGTGTGTGTGTGTGTGTGTGTGTGTGTGTGTAGGACATGGACAGGCCCAGCATGGAGTCCAGCCCAGAGTATCTCATCTGTCCTCATCTCCATCCAGTCTCTGATGACGGAGAACCCCTATCACAATGAACCTGGCTTTGAACAGGTACCCTGTGTTTTTCTTTATGTTCAACAGTAGGAGTTGATAAGATTTTATTGATACCAATGCCATAATAAAGTCAAAATTTTTTATCGATTCCTGATCATTTTGCTGTGTGGAAAAAAAAAAAGGCCTACCCAGGTTTTCAGGGTCAACGGAACAGTTTTATTGTCTAGACACACAGTGTAGAAACAGGGTGTGAAAAAGGCATGTGACTCGGGTGTACAAATGCTCCACTGTTTAACCGCTGTTTAATTTGGAACCAGTTTTCGATTCCCATCTCTAGAAATAGGAGTATATTTGTACGGAATTAATTGTCATTTAGGTTTGCCTAGTCAAAGAAAACATCTGCTAAGCATGCCTGCACTTCAATTCAATTTAATTGAGAGATGATTCCAGCTGAATGTCAGTAGTGAAGTTCTTTAACTACTGTATGTATGAAATGATGCCACCAATGTATCAGTTACACACAAATCGATGAATAGATTTCAGTTCATCTTCTGCTTGCTTTTAAAAGCGCTTTTATTAAAGTTTGTATATAAGGCAATGGTCTGTCTGTGTGTATGTCTCTCAGGAGCGCCACCCAGGGGACAGTAAGAACTACAATGAGTGTATCCGCCATGAAACCATGAGGGTGGCTGTGTGTGACATGCTGGAGGGTAAAGTCCCCTGTCCTGAGGCTCTGTGGTGAGACCAACATACTCTTTACTTTCCTTCTTCTTCATTTCCATCTGTCTTAAACATTTTTGCCTCTCTGCACTCTTTTCCTGTCCTTTCCATTCACTCTCCTCTCTTCTTTCTGCTTGTCAGCTGATTGGTGTGTGTGCATGTGTGTTTTCAGGAGTGTAATGGAAAAGTCCTTCCTAGAATACTATGATTTCTACGAGGGAGTCTGCAAAGAGAGACTGCATCTGCAGGGACAGAACATGCAGGTGACTGTATTTATTATTTATTCAAATGCATTTTCTCATCCAAGTAAATTTTCCATTTTTACGTCAATGTCATGATGGAACAGAATCACATATGTCTAAAAAATATTAGTTATTAGAGCCAAATGTTCTGGTTTTCCATTTGCATTTGTCCTACTGACAGCACTCGCTATGTGACCTATTCACCCAGGGGCTAACCTGAATAGCATGGTTGCTAACAGACAACAGTCTCATTGCCAGAACTTTCCGGGTGGAACTTTGTGTTCCAAACGGAAGAATTTTGCATACTGAACCAAACAGCCTGTAGTCTAACTTCATATAACAGATAATGTGCTTTGAACAGATGTGAACAGCATCTGAATTTTTGCAGTATCATTTGTGCCCCCACTGCTAACTTACTATTTACAGTGCTATCAGAATCTCTGATGTCCACGGAGAGTAAACATCCATACATAAAGTTTAGAAGCAAAAAATTAGTAAGGAAAAAAAGTCACTCCTTAATATATTGGCCCTAATAATCAGATTCTGAGGATTTCTTCAGTATCAACAGTAATCCAGGTGATTGATGTCTGTACAGTCTGAAGAGGAACTGCTAGAAGCCAGAGCAACAGGACTTTGTATGAGGCAGATTTGCCATAATGTAATATATTGTAATGAGATATTGAAGCTTTTCAGATGTCAGTCAACTGGCTCGTTTGTTTTCATAGACACCTCAAATTATCTTTCTTCTTATCTGGACCTCCTTCCATTTCAACCTGATTTATTTAGATAATGCAGTATGATAAGTTAGGAGGTTCCTTTATTGATCCCCTGTGGGAGAAATTAGAGTTTGACACAGCAGCACAGGGGAAATGTAGTGCAAAAAGTACAGAACTGTAAAAATACAATAGATAAATATTATAAAGATATAATAGAAAATATAAAGACAATATACACTATATGCAGCAGTATGCAGTAAGAAATATGGTGTGCAAAAATATTTGAAACAGTGTATAACTGGTTGTACATGTGCAGTTATTACAGGGTAATGGCCCAGACCTTTTTCTTTCAACCCCTTTCTCCTTTTCTTTCTTTTTTTTTTTCTTTATATGTCCTCCCATTACAAACACAACATTCAATTTTAAAGAAAGGGCATTTATTATGGCCCAATGCAATTCTGACTTGTATTTTTCCCTGGTAATACATATTGCCGCTACTAATTTCCACTCACACCAACAGTTGCATAGTGTTTTGTTTTGTTTGTTTGTTTTAGTTTTTTTAGCTGTGGTTAAGATAATGTAAAGCTGAGAGGGACTGAAATGAAGAATATTTCTTTATAGCTGTATGCCAGCTCTTCATCTACAGTGGGTCTTGGGTGTGAGAGAGAGAGAGAGAGAGAGGATTTTCTGATACTCAGTATTCGGTGCAGTTACATCTTCCTATGTATGCCCTTTGCTGCGCGCCATCCCCTCCTTCCTGTCTACTTTCACCTGTCAATTAAAAAAAGGCAAAAATTATATTTTTTAAAATATCGCAGTACAATTGACATAAATCAATGCTAACTTTTACTTAAGCTTAAATTAGCATGCTAGCATATATTAGAGGTAGAATGCTCCACTCGCAAGTTAGCAGAGATGTGTCATTTTAGTATTTGATTGATTACATGGTTGGACCTCCCAGACATACCACGTACCCAGAACATCACTGGTTCAGTTCCATCTGGGGCCTTTGTTGCACTTATACCCCCCTCTCTCCCAATGTTTTCTGTCTGCTTCAACTGTCAACAGTCCAATAAATTAAAAAGTGATTTAATAAAAAGATGAAGATAAACTGGTAGGTATATGGTCGAAATGTATGTTGGAAATGTTATTTTCTATATTTTGTGAGCAACTATCCAAAGCAGTGTGAAGTGTAAAACAATTCAGCACAGAAAATGAATGTGTATCTTTTTTCCTATACAGAAACAGATGGTAGCCATATGTTACATCCCTGTAGCAAAGGCCAGGACATTTCTGAGTGACATGCTGTCCTTAACTCACTTGTTCATTTTTTGATCCCTCAACCCAGGACCCATTTGGCGAGAAGCGCGGCCGCTTCGACTACCAGGGCCTACTGGCTCGCCTCAGCGCCACCCACAGGAGAATACGCGAGAAAAGCCTGGCGGAGGAAGACCACAATGACGACGATTCGGACTCAGACACCAGCTCCTCTGGGACGGACCCCGACAGCCAGGGCAGCTCCCAGCCCTGACTCCCTGGACGGTGCTGGACTCAAAGCCAGGCCAAGCACTAAAGACAAAGGGACCTTTTTTTGTTTTGTTTGCAGTGGAGGAACAAAATCACAGAAGAGAATGCAAACCCCTACGTTTAAGGCTTTAGTGAGTCCAGGGTTCAGAATTGGAATCAAGCTTGTGTTGTACGGACGTTGCAGAGAGAGAAGAAATGGTAGTGCTCTCTTTACAATGAAAAATAAACACCATCCATTAGTCAAATGCTGGCAAATTTGGCCTGGAAAGGTGTATTTGTGCTACTTTTGTAGCAAAGCAGCTGTCATATTGATGCTGTCAGTTTGATTCTAAAACTCAAGTTGGCTGCCCGAATGCCTGATAGATTTTGAGATTAACCAGCCATCGTCACTTGTGGATATAGAAGGTTAGTTTCATGGCTCAAACCTTTAAAAATGCGCTGTAGGAATGGACAAAAAAACCCTCAAGCCCAAACAGAAATCCACTCAGGCTTAGAAGTAGAGGCAGGTTTGGGCCAAACGAAGGGACCTTCGTTACTGGGGAAAGTCAGGGTGAATGGCCTGAGTTGGCTGGAGTAGTGGAAGGTGATCATCAAAGTGTCCCTGTTGTCTTTAAATTCAAGAGGGGAGGAAGGAAGGACAGACCTTTAACAATGGAAAGTAGTTTGAGAAGGTTCGGCGAGGCTTTGCAAGTCACGTGCCTTTTCTCCTCTGGCCAGGGTGAGACCAAGCCACAGCTCTTTCAGACTGGACCTCATCCGCCTCTTCAACCAGGCCACATGAAACCATCAGCAGCTCGCGATTCTGAATATGATGATTCCTGTGTATTATACAAAAAAGTCCTGCTTAGCTTTCAGTTCTAATAGTGCTGTTGAAATCTGTTTACCAGGCAAGAAGCCGTTAATGTCAGTTTCATTGACGTCCACCTTTATACCCTTCGTTATGCTGTTTTCTCATTGTTGTGCTCAAACTAATGCTAATTTGCAGTGTGTAGGGTGTATTGTTTATTTGGAAACCCTGCCATTCTTTGGGTGGATGGCTCTTGTGATGAACCCGTCAAGACACAAACCAAACAATCCTGTGCTTTAGCTAGACCGACTCGGGGGAGACGACGACTGATGGAGGTGAAAGCGAAAGGAACTTTGCATGTGTTCACACTGCCAGCAACTCAGTTGCTCTGTTCTGTCTGATACCAGGGAGGCCAGACCGAAGGCAGCAAACTCCTTTAACTGGCTTTTTAATACTAATGGCATTTGTTAAAAAAGAATAGATAAACTCTTTACTCAACCAATATTCATTTGTCACTTTTCACCACTGGATATCAAGCTTGACACAGATTTGGGTTTGATCTTAGGGAAACATATCTAGGGGAAGTAAGGCAATGAAGAGATCTGATTATCAAACATTTCTCAGCTAACAGTTTATCACCCATCAGCCGCACAGGAAATGAACAGACTTGTTGACGGCTTTGCTCGCAGTGTGAACGCAGTGAGGATTTCTCTAGGTAAAGAAGAGAAGGGAGCAGAGTTTGTCTGGCTTTGTGTGCAAAGAAAACACTCCAAAAGCACAGACTGCTGAAGCCTCATCTAAGCTTCAGGTTAACTTTGCAATATATTTTTGCACTAAACATTAGGAAGAGATCTCTTTTACAGCCAGTTTGCAGAGGAGGAGTGATTATACTGAGGACCAGTAACTCTTCCAGTGTACCTACAGTATATGAGTGTTGTGTATTGAGATAGAGATGAATAAATCTGAACCTGTCCCATAAGGAGTTTTATATTTAGCAGAATACACTTATTCACTTTCTTGCTGAGAAGATTGATTCCAACACTATGCCTGAACGTTAAATAGAAAGCTCTTAGCTTAGCTCAGCTTAAGGACTGGAAACGGGGAAACAACTAGCCTGTTTCTATCTGAAGGTAACAAAATCCACCTTCTGAAACTCACTAATTAACATTTTATGTTATATATTATATAATTTGTTATATTTGTTTAATCTGTACAAAGTCAAGAATATGAGTCTCTATTTTATCGGGGGTTATGCCTCCAGTACGTAACCCCCCATAAAACCATACAATGTTTTTACACTTTACACAGCATTAGAGGTGCTACTGGGTGGATTGTGTTCCCTTTGGACAGAGCTAGGCTATCTCCTGTTTCCCGTCTTTGTGCTCAGCTAAGCTAACTAGCTCATGGCCGTAGCTTCACATTTAACAGACGTGCGAGTGGTATCAATCTTCACATCGTACTATCTACCAGAAAGCGAAGAAGTGTATTTCCCAAAATGTTGAACTGCTCCTTTAAGTCCATATACAGGCTCTTAAACTTGATACCAACCTTCTTATAGTCTTTTCTAGAAGCTTTCCACCATGGTGAGACAAGCGGTCTGTCAGGCTTGTTGTATTTCCTTTCTGCCTTCCATTGTCCTCCAGTGTCTGCCTTTAGCTCTCTGCAGCCGCGTTGATTCCTCTGCTGTCGGTGTTTTGTCCATCCCTGGTCCATTGGCAGGGGGTTAGGTCGCTAAAGATTCAAATGGGATCACAAATATAGGGCATTCCTTTTTATTTGTTTTATTATGTTATAGAATGGTTATATGAGAAGCAGCTCCTAGCAGAATATATGTGATTGCCAAAATGTTGATTGCAACACACTTCCTCAAGTGGAAGTGAAGAGATCATATCCCTGTTTGGTTGTGTTGTGTTGTGCTTAAAGCAGGGTTCTTCTGTGGCTCTATAAAGCCTGGATTACTGACAGAAGTAAGATTATTTCCAGGTCTTGAAAAATGTTGGTATTGTACAGAAGTTCTGGAAATGCAGAATAAAATGTTGTTCAGTCCTGATAAATGTGACTACTGTTTTTTTTTTTTTGCTTGCAGATGGTGGTGTTTGTTTTCAGAAATAATGTTTGGCTATCATATATTAATTTACTCATACTGACCCTATAAACAAATTAGCCAAAGTAAGGTTGTGGTCACTCTGGTACTGGTAGCGGTATCTAGTCTGACATATCCACTTGCTTCTTTTGTTAAATGAAAATTTAGTTTTTGTAGAAAAACATAGGTATTTCTCAAAGTAAGGTATCAAACAGGTATTGGTGTTGTATCAAACTATTTCACGAATACCCAGACCCAATAAAAAGTTAGAATAATCTCTAGCAATGTGAATATGTGACCGTTAGTGATTGAAATTGAAGTGCTGAAGTCTTAAAGGAGCACTCACTCCTAAAAACACTGCTCAATATGGCTAGTAGTAGATTGCTTATTATGTACAGATGAATACTTTTTACAACAAGAATTATAGCTAATAAATAAATAAATAACTTGTAGTTCTTATTTGCACTGAAACACAGGACTGTGGCAAACAGTGAATTGTGTTACTTCTCTTATTTCTAGATGCACAACCAAAATAAAATATTTGAACTTGAGTCTCAGTGACTTCTTCTTTTGTTTCAACCAAACTCAGCAATGTAAGTCAGTTTTCTCTCCAACCTCAGTCATTGTCAATGTAAGGTTTATTTTTAGGCCATTACAGTAGGACCTTTGTTTTAACTGATTAAATCATGTTAAGGCTGATCTCATTCTATATTTAAAAGATGAATTGATCGTACTACCTGTAACAAGTATTTTGTGTGTGTGTGTGTGTGTGTGTGTGTGTGTGTGTGTGTGTGTGTGTGTGTGTGTGTGTGTGTCAGAGCCTCATAGCTTCTTCCTCTGAGCTCCATTGACACATAAATGAGTCACACTGTTGCACTAGGTGACATGTTCCTTCTTTACTATGAACACACACTGTAGTTTATCTCAACTCAATCCCACACACACCGTCCTGCTGCCCCTAATACTCACTCAGAGCACCAAATGTGGATTCATCCGCCGTCTTAAACAATTGTGCTATTTCTTCCTGTTTGAGTTAACATCACTTTATACTATTTTACTTTATAAACTATATAGTTATGAGTCAGTTTTAAACCGTTACTTCTCAAGTACGAACCAAAAAACACACACTTTATTGTTTAAATTGGCAATGTGTATATGTCTAAATGCATATGGAAGGAATCTATAAAATTCTGTGTAACAACATTTGAAAACTGAAATTGCTTCGGTTGAGAATGTGAGATTTAAGAAAGAAATCCCATATGAAATGGCTCATAAGAAAGATATTTTAACCTGTTGATCATATACAGACACGTAATAACTTTTTATTATCAAAGTTATGTTACAACTCTGTTCATTTCAGTGCATTAAGACATTGATACGAAAATATACAGGCTAATAGCCACACCTTAAGATGTGACTACTGTGTGTGTGTAATCTTGTACAGTCTTGTTTCAGCAGAGGTGTTTCTCACCAGGAGCCGACTCCCCCTCCTCCATCTGACACAGAGACACTGTGGAGTCGAACCTAATCATATACTCGAACCCAAACGCAGGGTAGAGGGGTTCAGTGAACGTGCAGTAGAAGGTGTGGAGGTGCATCAGTGTGTCAGGGCAGACTTTGTAGAAGGACAGAGTGCCAGCAGGCCAGTCTAGATACACCGCTACTCTGTCAGAAACAGAGTTGGTGGTACATATGGCTGTCATTTTGTTGTTGCTAAAGGCACAGTAACGGTCACCAGAGCAGCACACGCTCCAAGACGTGTCGCTGACGCCGAGGTGCTCCCCTCCTCTCCTTCTGATTCCTCTGTAAGTCACTCCCACAGACACCCAGCCTTTCCTCTCCACCTCCCAGTAACAGCGGCCAGTCAGACCATTTGTACACAGCACCTGCTTCCAGTCGTGGAATCTCTCTGGGTGCTGGGGATATGTCTGTCTCTCTCTCACCAGTGACACCTTTGTGTTGTCCGCAGATAAAGAGAGGTATCTGTTTGCTGTGTTTGGGTCCAAGGTGAGTTCACAGGCATCTGATGTAGAACAAGAGACAGAGGTTAGCAAACAGTATGATTACAGTATGATATGACATGTATGATTTTTCCAAAAAAAAGTGTTATATTATTTATTAGAGCCTGTACATGTTCATACACATATACATAATACATGTCAGAGGGTTTGCTGTAAGGATTTTCCACTCTGCACGGCTTGTTAGTAAGGACAACAGCATCAGCCTGGTTTACTGATCCAACAGTGTGGGTCAGGAAGACACATGTTCAGAAGTTACACTTCTACACCGTCAATTTTGAATTTGGACAGATCAGTTCAGATCAGGTGTGAACGTATCGTGATATTGGCTTTATGGGTGTAGCCGTGTTGGTTTTCTGGAGCCAACAGCGGTAATGCAGTAACTAGAGATTGAGACCATAAACTCATTAGGAAACTGTTTACTGAGCTAATAAAGCAAGTGAAAAGTAGGATAATAAAGACTCCATACTATTGGACTTCTGTTTTGCAACCCATGGAACCACAGGTTTAAGACACTTGCGCGTTGGTTTAACTTCACATACTTGGAAGCACTATCCACTAACTATGTACTGTCAGTTGATTATTTCACATGAGTTTGGCTCTTTTGGGTTTTCGAAGCTGGTTTAAAGGAGCAGTGTGTAGGGTTTTGTGGCATCTAGTGGTGAGAATGCAGATTGAAACCAACTGAAACCCTTGACTCAACCAATCACAAAGGAGAAACTATGATACCACAAAAAAACACAAAAGGCTCTATCTACGGCCATTGGTAGAAACATTGGCGGTTCAACATGGAGGACTCCATAGAACAGGACTCACTACAGCTAATTCTAAGGTAACAAAAATGCAACGATTCTTATTTTCAGGTAATGAAAACATACCTATGAATAATATAATCTGGGTTTAGTTAGCATGATAACATTATTCAGCTCAGTTCCTCACTCTGGTTTCATCAGAAATTCAAATTTGTTGTGGAACATGAAAAATACAAATAATTGTAAAATGTAATAAAATGCAAATTTAGTAATGTTCAGTTGTTGTTGATACTTTTATTCCCTGTTACAGATCAAATATTTCATTTATTCTTCATTTGAATAAAAAGGGACAGCCCTAACAGAGCCTTGCTTCCCAATGGTAACATAGGGAAGCTTTCACACAAAACTTCTGTCCATTATTGGTTCATTTAGTATGAAAAGATTTCTTATGGCTGTGTACAGACTTACACTTCCTTAGACCAGACTTCAGCCAGTGCATGCCGATTTGGTCCACACTGGAGAAATAAACATAGTCAATCATGTTTTCATAGTAAGCAATTTCATTCATAACCTTGTTAAATATGAGACAATATTTCTCAGATCATCTCTGTGACTGAGAAGACTTACCTGAGAATGTCCAGTCTCCACTGTGGATCCTCTCTCACAGCCGAGAGCATCTTCACCCCCGAGTCTCCCGGATGATTGTAGCTCAGGTCCAGCTCTTTCAAATGGGAGGGGTTAAACCTCAGAGCTGAGGCCAAAGAAGCACAGCCTTCCTCTGTGATCATGCAGCCTGACAACCTACACACAAGAGAGAGGGACAGTGTCTTACTCCGAAGCTTTAAGTATGTGTCGTGACGATTTAGGAGAAAAAAATGTTCTATCTTCTATCAGACTGTATCCGGTTACTTTGGCAGTTCTTGAATAAATTGGCTGAATAATCCTCAAAATTAACTTTAGGTCTCAACACCGGAGACAACAAGCACACATATAAAAACACATTGATAAAAAGCAGATACAAAAGCCTGATATAAAACTACATATAAACTATGGTTTAAATAGTCAAAGTGAGGATTCCTGACCTAAGAGTTTCCAGTCTGCAGTGTGGACTCTCCAATCCAGCTGAGAACAGCTTCACCCCTGAGTCCTGCAGGTCGTTGTTACTCAGGTCCAGCTCTTTCAGACCGGAGGACTGTGAGCTGAGAACCGAGGCCAGAGTTTCACAGCTCCTCTCTGATAGGTTACACAAATTCAACCTAAAGAATTTTAAATAAAAAAGCAAAAATAATAAAGTTGTTTAAATGATAATAAAGAGATACAGTTTCATTCAGTTTCAGTCATACAGAATATGAGCCAGATATGGTTCACCCAGCATACTGGTTTGTGGGAGAGTTTCAACCAACTCCCTCATATCCGTTCCTCCTCTACCCTGATGCCTTATAACATAGTCTAACAATTCCAAACTCACAGTTAAACTTTGCAATTTCATGAACGTTAACCTGAGTGATTCCAGTTTACAGCACAAACTCATCAGTCCAGCAGAGAGCAGCGTCACTCCTAAGTCCTGCAGGTCGTTGTTACTCAGGTCCAGCTCTCTCAGACTGGAGGACTGGGAGCTGAACACTGAGGCCAGAGGTTCACAGCTTCTCCAGGACAGCTTACAGCCACTCAGCCTGAATAGGATTCAGAAATGGATTTTGCTCACAATACGCTTTGCTTCAAACCCCTACACCAATATGGACAGACACACAAATACATACATATTGTATATTTTGCTATATAGTAAAACTGTGTTTTGTTATTGCTATTAAAATTGAGGTAGGCTGACCTAAGAGTTTCCAGTCTACAGTGTGGACTCTCAAGTCCAGCATACAGCAGCTTCACTCCTGAATCCTGTGGGTTGTTGTTGCTCAGGTCCAGCTCTCTCAACCTGGAGGACTGGGAGCTGAGAACTGAGACCAGAGCTTCACAGCTTCTCTCTGACAGGTTACAACCACTCAGGCTGAAGAAAAATGAATTACAAATATACATTTTATAAATATAATATAAATATATTGTTAGCCAAAACCCATATTGGTAATGGGAGCTGTGACAGAAATGTATTTCATAAAGTTATAATAATAATATTAATAATAATGTCTATACTATACACCTACAAGAATACATTAGAGTTCTTGACCACTGGCAGCAGCCTGAGGAGACCTTCCTCGGAGGCAGAGTACTTCCTGAGGTCAAACATGTCCAGGTCTTTTTCTGATGACAGCAAGATGAAGACCAGAGCTGACCACTGAGCAGGAGAGAGTCTGTCTGTGGAGAGACTTCCTGAACTCAGGTACTGCTGGATCTCCTCCACCAGAGAATGATCATTCAGTTCATTCAGACAGTGGAACAGGTTGATACACCTTTCTGGAGATGGGTTCTCCCGGATCTTTTCCTTGATGTACTGCACTGTTACCTGATTGGCCACTGAAGTACTTACTGTCTGTTTCAGCAGACCTTGTAGACTATTCTGACTGGTCTCCAGGGAGAGACCCAGGAGGAAGCGGAGGAACAAGTCCAGGTGTCCATCTGGACTCTGTAAGGCCTTATCAATAGCCATTTTTTGGACCTCTGCCATAGACGTTTTGATGAAGAGCATCTGCACACTTTGAAACTTGAGTTGTTGTTGCGCCATTACATTTTTGTTTTTGTTAATGAGTGACTGCACCACATAAACAGCAGCAAAAAACTCCTGAATGCTTAGATGGACAAAGCTGAACATTTTGCACTCATCCATGTCCTTCTTCCAGCGGCGCTCCTTTTTAAAGATCTGCGTGAACACTCCTGAGTACACCGAGGCTTCGTTGAAATCAATGCCACTCTCTTTGAGATCTTTTTCATAGAAGATCAGGTTCCTCTTTTCCAGTTGGTGAAAAGCAAGTTTCGAAAGCGAGTGAATGTACTGAATGCTCTTCACCATGCCATATTTCTCTTTTGTCTGTCTGATCTGAAACATCAAGAATTCTGTGTACAACTCAGTCAGGGTCGTGGGCAGCTCTCCTGCATCACAGGTTTTCAACATGTCCTCCAGAACTGTAGCAGTGATCCAGCAGAAGACTGGGATGTGGCACATGATGTGGAGGCTTTGTGATGTCTTGATGTGGGAGATGATTCTGTCGGCAATCTCTGAATCTCTGAATCTCTTCCTGAAGTACTCTTCCTTCTGTGGATCAGTGAACCCTCTCACCTCTGTCACAATGTCAACAAAGTCAAAAGGGATTTGATGGGCCGCCGCCGGTCGTGTGGTTATCCAGAGGCGAGCAGAGGGAAGCAGTTCACCCTTGATGAGACTTGTCACCAGGACTTCTACTCCAACTGCCTGTGTCACATCAGTGGTGGGATTGTTATCAGTAGTGAAGTCGAGGTGAAGGCGGCTTTCGTCCAGCCCATCAAGCACAAACAGAAGTTTAAATTTACTTTTGTTAAAGTTGGTATTTCCTGAAGCCTGCAGTTTTGTGAAGATGTAATTCAGTGCTTCCTCTGTGATATCTCGACTTTCCCTGATACATTTGTGAATGAGCTCTGCAAAACTAAACCTTCTCCCCTTCAGTAAATTCAGCTGGCGGAAGGTGAAGGGGAATGTGAGATGCACATCTTGATTGGCTCGTCCTTCAGCCCAATCCAGGATGAACTTCTGTACAAGGAAGGTTTTGCCGATTCCTGCAATCCCATTGGTCAGGACCGTTCTTACAGGCATGTTTTTTCCAGAGGGGTGTTTGAAGATATCACTGGGATTGACTGGTTGCTCTGTTCCCCCTGGTTCTCTAAATGCCATCTCAACCTGCCTGACCTCATGCTGCCTGTTAATGGTTACAATGCTCCCATACGTGATGAAGACCTCTGTGTAGACGTCATCTAGGTGTTTTTTATCTGTCCTTTCTGTCCATCCCTCTTGTGCACACATAAACCTGTTCTGGAGGTGTGACTGGAGTGTGTGCTGGTGTAATGCAATCAGTTCTGGAAGGCCAGGTTCTGGCTCCAGCAAATCTGTGCAGAACAAATTAAGTATCAATAACCACAAACTACAGGGGTCAAATGTTGCCACGGAACAGCTACAATTATTTAATTATGTTTCAGGATGGATTGATGATTAAATAGATGATTAAATAGATAGAAAATATGGCTAAATATAGCCATAGAGAGAAAATGAGAGGACCTTTACCTTCAGTCTGACTGCTGCTGGAGCAAGAAAGGAAAGTGGAAGATGCTTCCCTGCTCTTTGACATTTCCCCAACATCATGCACAATTACTGAGAGAAAAGAAAAGAAAAGAAAAGAAAGAACAAGACCCAAGACCTTAATTTTATTCAAGCCAGGACTTTATTTTGTGTCACATTGCAGATTTGATGACTTACGTTTGGGTCCTGAGCTGATGTTGGACAAACTCTGCACCAGATCATTCCTGTTGATCTTTGTCAACACTCTCTTGGTCACCTCCACAGACTGTTCATTGTAGGTCTGCACTATCAGGTCCAGTGTGTCCAGCCTGTCAGCCTTCTCCAGGTGGCTCTTTGGGATGGCAGGGAAGTCTTCCAGGATTTCCGCTTGCTGCAGAAACCACTTGAAGATCTTCAGCTCTTCATCTCCCAGATCATCAAGTGTTCCCAAAAGCAGCTCCGTAACAGAAGTCATCATTGGTTCCCGATGTTTTTACCTCCAGCGACAAAATGATCAAAAGAATATCATCTCACAGCACCGGACTTACAGTGTTTTCAATATGTTTCTCATTTCATTAGCATTATAACATGCAGTATTAGTACTATGCACTAGGCTGTGTATTGGCAAGAATTATTCAGCATCACGATACAGGGTAACGATTCAATATACTGCAATACTATAGGCAAGGCGATATATTACAATTTTTTCAAATACAACCACCTTATACATCAAATCTGAGTTAAAAATGTACTATGGGGCACCCTGGTAGCTCACCTGGTAGAGCCTGCCCTAGCAGCCCACCATGCCTGAACAAAAACAACCAATCATTGGTGAGTCTCATTACCAGCATCAATATTTGACAACAGGGGAATGAGACCCAACCATCAGCTATCCTATATATTATAGGAAAGGGAAGACGACAGCTTTTACAAAGCTCAAAAAGTGTAATGAAAGAAAAGCGAGTGCAAATTATTACTTATTGTATCCAGAACATTTGTTTACCCTTTAAATTGAATAAATTGTCTGATACAATTTATCCCATATTGAAATGTATTTTGGAGTAGACAAGGCATTTTGATGGCACATGTCATACATTTCTTACTGTAGCCCACTGATCATACCTGCTACGTGTTTAATATGTTGCTGGATTCAGCACAATCAGACCTTTCTAACAAACACTGGTTGGTGTGTCTGGGACTATCCCAGACAAAGCTACCCTAAAGTAATTGAATTGTATATTTCTGCCCACTGTGAACGTCCTTGTGTGCATCAAGGTATTCATATTCTGTTTTTTCAGACCTGTAGAGGCCCCCTGCCCACGTCCCCACCAGATCTGGAATCAATCAGAGCTTGCATTGTGAAATTACAGTGTGTTATCTCCCATTCGGACTGGCTTTATTTGACACTTTATTCAAGGGGTGTGTCACAATGTCTGTCAATTTAACCACTTTTGCAATCAAATATATTTATAAAAGAATCAGATTCATATAAAGGTACGGAAGCCGAGAACGGCCATGGATTTTTCTTTTTTCAAGCACTGTTATCTCGTGATAACGACTTATTATCTCGTTATCTCGACATAACAAAGATTGTTTTCTCGTGATAACTATTTCATTAATAATGTGTTCGTCTTGATTTCAACCTACAAGAGCTGCCACGGACGGCTTCCAGTCAAATAAACAAACTAAAGTGTAACTTACCGGTAGACTACAGCTACCAGAGACCTTCACTATGTATATAGGAGACCTTAGAGAACACAATAAACATTGTTGTGCTTTGCTCTACCTCCGGCAGCGCTATCTGGGTGCCTTCCCACGAGCCTACTATATTTGTACAGTTGTTGAAATCAAACGAACTGTGAATGTTGCAGGAGGACTGCTTCTGCTTTCGCCCCACATCTTCCAAACACTTACACCCATAACGTGTTGCAACTTGTTGGCCCCATTCTCGCAGCACTGAGAATATCATGCACGATGGTCACATGACTCAAATGAATCTCATCTTCTCAATAACTGCAGACTAAATGGAGATTTGCTCATTAAACACAGAGAACTCACATCCACATGAAGAGGTTTTCATTCTTCATCCGCAGGAGGAGCACGGCTGATGTTGTGTCAGTCTTCTGTGTCTGTATTCATTTGATCTCATACTGCTGTCACTTCCACTTTATGTCCAGAACCGGCAGTGTGATACAAGCTTGGAGCCGTTGTTGTCCTGAGTGCAGCCTCCCAGGCAACATGTCCTCAGATGCTGTTTTCCTGCCGCATTCAGCTTGATCGGCAGGTACAGGTACCGAACCATCCGCTATCTTAATCTAATTCATTTCATCATTTAATTAGTATTGTGTATCTTGCTGGCGGCAGTATAGTACGTAGGAAGTGTTGCCTGAGAGGCTGTGCTCAGGGAATAACACTTCCATGGTAAAAAGCAGATGATTCTCTTTGTCCACTAGATGGTTGTCTCAGTCTTCTGCAGACTCGCATACTACCTACTCTTCCCTTCCACTCAGGAATCAAGTTATCCTGAATTGAGGCTCACAGGTACAGCTCAGTGTCAGTTTCTCCCACTTCCACTAGCATTAGTTTTAGTTTCTTTCGTCATGGTATGGAGTTATTTGTCAGGGGCCTGTCAGATTTAAGAAGGCATTATACAAACACAACACTGTGAAGGCAGCTGATTTACAAGTTTGACCAAACTTGACAGATTAAGACATTTCCTGTATATTTAAAAAGAAAAAAACAAAAGTTAGTTTTGTACATACACATTTCTGCGTTTTTAATTTAATTTCAGTTAACTGAAAGGTTTTTTCACACCTAGTTTTAGTTTTTAGTTTAGTTTCTGATAGCCTTGCTCTGTAGATAAAACAACTCATTCTAAGGTAACAAAGACACAATGATTCTTATTTTAAGTGTCACTTGTTGTTTTGCCTTTTTTTTTTTTGAGCTATTTTACTTTTGTGAAGCACTTTGTGACCTGCTGTGTGAAAAGTGCTGCATTAAATACACTTACTTTTCTGTGTGTTTTAATTGTTGACACTACAATTGGGACAATGTGCTAATGTCCCCCGAATGTAAATTAGAATTTAAAATTTTGTGTTACAGAAAAAAAAAAGCAAAAAAGACAGACAGACAGACAGACAGGAAGAAAAAAGTTGTTCCCATGATGCACCTGTCCTGCCGTTACACCTGTGTGAAACTGTGCCACGCGCGCGCAGAGCCAGCAGAAGGACGGCGCTCGCGCCCGCAGACAGTGTGAAGAGGCGCTTCATCAGTTCAGCTGCTGCTCTCCTCGCGGCCACGACGCTCTCTCCGTGTTAAAACAGGTCAGCAAAATGGCTTCACGCAAAGTTAAATGTTTGAAACCTTCTCAGTTTGCAACGTACGGAAGAAAGTTTTCAGAAATGATTTGGTGGTTTGCTTCAGTTTTCATTTTTGTTTTAAAATAATGTGACTGACTGAAACTTGGCTTGACGGCATGTTGGCGTGTAGTTCCTTTGGACATTTGGCAAGCTAGCTAATGTCAAAGAGTAATCTGAAATGTCTGTGTCGGACATATAAAATGTACCTTAATGCTGTTTCTCACGCTGTGGGTTTGTGTGGGTTTGGTGTTTGGGGTGTTGTTCACTTGAATCAAACCTGTTTATTAAGCCTACTAATTGTCCCCAACAACACACTCCTCACACACCCTCCTGTCTGTGTGCCTGGATGTTCCCCAACAGCCAGTTGGGTGTGTTGTCTGGTTTGTCTGCTGCTGAATTCACACTGAAAAGTCCTACTCTTTGAGAAGGTGTGTTTCTACTGCTATTAGAATCACTGATTTAGTTAACAGTCAGTAGGCCTACCTGGTTCCAAAAGGCCAGAAGATTTTTCCAGAACACTCTTCTAACAGTCGTCTCTGGCCCAAATATAGACAAATGAAACTTTTTGCTTTTTTATTGCAACACAAGAAACATATTTACACATTTTGTATAAAAATGTGGATTTTTGTGCAGAAATGAAAATAGACCTTTTCTGTGTGGATTGTGAACAGATTTAGCATTTTGTACAAGCAGGTACTGAGATTAAACATTACCCACTAATTAATTGATCCTGGAAATAATAATAGTAGTAGTTTTTTTTTATTCCTTTGTGTGCCACAATGGAATTGAGGTTTGAATGCCAGCACTAATGGCTGCCGTTGATGACTTTTTGTCTCTTTCCTCCTGTCACCATAGACTGCAATGGAATCTGCAACACAGCTTAACTGTGAGCAACTAACTAAAGCCACAGTGTGCTTTTGGTGGTATTAGAAAATAAGATCTCCTCCAGACATTTATTATGGCATACATCCTATACAAACAGTGATTGCAATATGTTGCAACCAACCGAATACCGCTCGCCTTCCAAGAGTTTAGGGGAAACTACAGTGGCCATGAAATAGGCAGAAGGGACTATCTAGAGCCATGTGGGCTACTGTAGAAACATGGCGGCCCCAATAGAAGAGGACCTGCTCCCCCTGTAGATAAACATGGCTCATTGTAAGGTAACACAAACAAATTCTTATTTTCTGGTGATTTATACACTGATAACATACCTGTGAATATTAGATTCTGCCAATAGATCCTCCTAAATGTTAAACACTGGACCTTAAGCACTTGACCTTCCTTTTATCCTACATATAAAGACAAAACTGCACCCATAACTGCAACTTTGGGTTGTAAACACTGTTCTAAACCTTGAGAGAACTCCCATCAGTCACGTGTGGCCAAACAACCTGTGCATGTTGCTCTGGAATGTTCCTGGAATGAGTGAGTGAAAGATGGAGGATAGGGAGGTGAGAGGGAGAACCAGTCTGTTCAGGTTCTTGGCTCTGACTGCAGTGACATCACATAGACATGAATGTGATAGAACAAATTGTTCTGGACACTTAAATCACACACCAAGATACAATCTGCATCTGTTTATATGCTCCGGTCAGGTTGGTTCCCATTGCTACTATTATTCACTAGAGGTTCTTCTCATTTGCCTTATTGTACGTCTTCTTGCTCCTTGGGTGACCTTGGAAATCTGTTAGTGATTGGATGCTGCAGCCGCTCACACTGCTAGGACATTGCATCATCACAACACCGCACTTCCATACTGGAACCAACAGCTGAACCAACTCAGGTCTAATATCACTCTCAATGTTAAAACTCTGGATCTGTGTTAACTGTGAGTCTGACAGCTTTGCAATGTGTGTGTGTGTGTGTGTGTGTGTGTGTGAGACAGAGGTTGTTTGTGTGAGGTGAGGTTCTGTGTGCTTGTTTTAGGACTGTTCCAAATCACAGAAGTTGTAATTTAAGGTAAACTGTGAGACAAACCAGTTTTATAGTGAAGTAGTGTAGTGCTGCAGGGTTCCCCCTCATTCTCCAGATGTAACAAAACTGTTTGTTTGGTACAGACACCAGTAAATGTCACATCATCATGGTTTTCACTGGAGTGATGCAGCAACACGGCAGCCATATTGGTGAGGGGAAGCCACGCAGCCTAATGCATGCAAGTCTGAAGAGGCAGGCGGTTTATCCACAATCAATCATCGTAACTCGCTGAATTCTCAGACCATTTTTAAGCAGTTTATTATTTATGATACAGCATACTTAGTTCATTTTATAATATATTGTTATTTATTGTTTTTATACCAAAATCATTTCATATTATGTACCTTATGTGCAAATACCAAAGCATCAAAAGTGCCACTGCGATCAGTAACTGACATAACTTCAGATGATGCATGCGAGGAAAGTGTCTTTAAAAACATTTTTCCTGGAGTCTTCTTTCCTTGGATATTTTCCCTCATACAGTGGAGGGACTAAGACCCAAGGAAAAAGATGCAAGTTCAGGAAATGACAAGACAAATGACAAGCACCCACAGTCATGTTTGCACAACTACTCACCATCTGATTTAAATCAGTCACTTTCCTGCTGACTGTGGCCATTGATCAGAAATAACTTTTATTTTTTGTTAAAATGTTTTAACATTAATAAAAACATGGCTGTAGCGTCTGACATCACTCATGTTCCAAAAGAAAGGTTTGAAGCTCAGTTTGTCGTTGTTGCTGTCATGCTGCCAATTATTTCTAGCCAGGAAATCCAAATTTGGGCAAAGGCGACGACCAAAAAACATTATAGACTGTTAGCCAGAGAAACCTGTTTGTCAAGGTGAAAATGCTTCAGAATATTTTTTTACCAGTGGTTTTACATGTAGAAGCCAAATAAAAATGACCCCTTATGTTGTCAGTCATTTCCCCAAAAAAACATAGCCTTATTTTAGCTTTTTTTAAAATATTTTGTATACATTTTCAAAATAAATGTTTAAGCATAGACCCACCTTTTTTGAATACACGTCCATTCATAACTCACTGTAATTATGATTTTGCTCCTAAAACAACCTTTACCTTCAGACTAATTTCCATTGCAGAGATATACATTTCTTCTGTGTCATTTCATGTTGGAACTACAGGCCAGATGTTCTGCCTTTGAGTAGTTCTGATTGTACAAGCTCATCCACTGCATTGCTTCATTTTGACTCAAGCGTTTCCAAAACATGGCAGCAAAACTCTTCTTGTCCTCTCCTGTCTTGCTTGCCACATCAATTCTTTCCTCTTCACTGCACCGCTGCAACAGTGGTTCTAAGGCTTTTATGCCACCGACCAAATTGCTCCGATACTACCGAGCAAAGACATTTTATTGTCAAAGTATTTCTACTTTACAGAGTTACGTCTTTGTTGTATTGAACTTGAACAAGTAATCGTTGTTCAGAATGATACTGGCAGTGACAAAATACAGCCCTCATTCATTTTAATGATGGCCTACATTCAATGACTTGCATAGAACGTGCTGGTTTAAAAAAAATAAAATGCAGGGTTGTTCTGCAAAAAAATTTATTTGTTAGAATTTTGTTGTTTGCTGTTGTTGAATGAGTTCACAGTAAAACACCAAATTGTACACCTGACACATGCTTTGTTTTCTGCTCGAGGCAGCGTTAGAGGTGTTTGTCATGTTGTCAGGGCTGCTCTTTGGCCTGTATCTGAGCCCCGGCTCTATCTCTCTGGTTTACTGGTCAGACCACATGCTTCTCATAGTAGTTCAGAACATCTTCCTCTGTCCTTGTTGATGACTCAACACATCATTGTCATACCTGCATTATGACAACAGCTGTGAGGTATTGTTGTAACCGCGGGTGTCCACCAAAGAGAGGCAGATGGAGGGGAGGGGGGGGTAGGGGCTATTGGTATTGTGTATGAGTGATAGCTGTGGTGGGGAAGAAGCTGATTGTTAATTTAAGTCCCTGGTACTCATAGCTGTATTTAATCTTTTTGTAGATATATTTAGTTATCACTGTTTCTGTTGCATGATCATAGGAAGTGTGGAGAAATGTCAGAAGTTTGTTGTCGTGGCACTGTGAGCCTGGCTCCCTGGAAGCATTTCACTAACAGGATTAGCCAGCTAATTAGATAAGGTAGCATAGCATGTTGCTGTCTTGCTTTTCTGTGTTTTGAGACTAAATATCTCCAAACTAAGGACATGTTGAGTTATCAAAGTGTTACAAGATCAGACTCTCATCTGCCTGTATTTGTTTGTGCATCTGCCCTTACCACAACAAAATGCTGGTGAATGGGATTTCACTTGTGGTGGTCACAGCTTTGAAAAAATGCATTCAAAATCTACAACTGCAATGTCTCATTCCATAAAAATCACAAAAGTTCAGTGTTCATAGACAGTTTCAGTTTAAAGTAGGTCTTTAATTTAGTAGATTTGTGATTTATGTTGAATACCATAATAACATTGACAGTGTTTTTTGGAAAGACTTTTTTTTTTTTTTTTTTTTTGTGCTGTGACTACCACAACAAAATTCCATTCAGTGCAATGCTATCAGAAATCTCAGACAGGTATCTAAAAATCAAAACTACCTGCATTATCAGATCCCGTAAGTGACTAATGAAAAAATCAGTTTATTTCTAATTAAGGTGAACCAACGTTTTCAGCATTGTTTCTTCCATATGATTATCAGTGTTAATCTGATGGCTTCACATCATTACTGAAAGGAGCATGTGATATGACCAATTCACATAACAAAGCAGACCGGCATAACGTGGACAACGCAGCTTTATAAGGCTGGGTGTTAACAATACAACGCCACTTATGACTTTGTTGATTGTTTTATACAGTGAGTCTGTAACCAAGATGTATAACTACACAATAATGATGACTAGTACAAAGCATGCAGGGAATGTTTTCTCCTCCAGCTGCTTCTTCTCTGGATCCAACAGGTAGTACAGTAAAGCTCCTTCCAAAAACCAACCGGTTTACTGGAAGGTTGGTAACTAGGAAGAAATTCCAGATGTTTCATAACCATGTCTCTTCTCTAAGTCCCCTTGTTTGAAGATGTAAAGGTCAACACAATCGCAGAATCACCAACGTTACAAGTGGCAAAGATGTGAAGGCTCAGGTCATCCAGAGGTAATGCTGTGTTCATGTGTTGATGGAAAGTCAGAAATGGGACAGTTGACGGTTGGCTGCTAGACGGTGCTGCTGCATGTACTGTTCTGCCATGTGAAAAATACATACGAAGTAAGCAAAGCACTCCATGCTTAATGCTGTACTATTTTTATAGATTTTTATATCGGTAAGATACAATGTTTAATACAAAGTTAGTTTTCCTAATGAACGTGTGGTATTTTGAAACCAAACTCTTTAGGCTGCGGGCTGAGCACGTTTTCCTCTCCATCTGCGTCATTACAAAGTAAATACCTGCTGTTATTGGGATACTGAAGACATAAATAAGTACAAACAGGAGGAAATAGTGCATTTGTTTGGGACTATTTTCAGGGGCGGATTAATCCACATTTGGTGCTCTCTGAGTATTAGGGACTGTGTGTGTCACATGCTGTTTGTTAGGATACATTACATACAACATACATGTTGGTTTAGTTCTGCATGTGTGATTTGTTGACATTGTTTAAGCTTCTATTATTCTATCTATATCTATCTCTTGAACTACTTTCTTAACTAAAGTAGTTCTGCAAAAGTAAAATTTTACATTATTTCAAAGTGGACTGCTTTTTATATAGTGCTTAAATAACACATGTCAACATTCACCTATTCTCTCACACACGCACACACACGCTGCCTCCTTCTGAAATGTTGCCCCTTGACCTAAAGTTTGACCCTTTTTAAATCTCTTACAGTAGTTGCTACTGTTGGCCTTTTGTAAGGCAGAATTGATTATCTACATCTTCGCACTGGTGTTTTTTTATTGTACTTCTGCTGACAACAAATCTGTTACATATTTTGTCATCCTCGTGATGACCGAGCTGGCAGGCCTGTTCGGTAAGGTAGAGAGAGAGTGTTGCTCCACTTTCAGCCCCGCCCAGATACCTGCAGGCTTTGATATGCACCAACCTGACAAGCACAGCACCAGTCAGGTGTGGTTCTACTCTCGGTTTAACACAGGAGATCTGACAGGAGTTTCTCAGAGGACATTTTGATGCTGAAGGAATGTTCAGAGGAAAATCTCTTGTGTGATATATATTTTTTTTTTCTTCTTTCAAACTGGAACTTTGAGGGGAATTTAAATTAATTGTATGTGGTCTACTGAGGAAGCTGCTTGATAGACATCAAACCAATACAGGTGTGTTTCATTAGTTATTGATGCACCAGTGCTTTCCTGGTTGTAAGTGTTGCTGCATTATGGTTTTGTTCACTAGGTTTTCATCAGTATTGCCTCTTATTGTAGTTGTGCACAATTCATGTTCATGGTACAGCTGTAATGAGTCGATTAATTGATTAGTTGTCAACTATTAGATTAAATATTGATGATGATCATTTTGAGTCAGTTTTAGAGGGAAAAAATCCCAATTGTCTGATTTCAGTGCCTCAATTGTGTACATTTTCTGGTTTCTGTAGTGTTCTGACAGTAAACTGAATGTCGTTGGTTAGTGGACAAAACAAGATACTTTAGGGTGTCATTGGGCTTTGTGAAGTGATCCTCATTTTTCTGACATCAGTGTAGAAGTGGGATGAATGTGGATAGAATCAGTCGCATTGAATTTCACAACACGTTATCAATGCATTTGTTGATATATGTAATGGTATTGTACATTTTAAACAGCATTGTCTGCAATCCCTAATTCACCGTGAGCTATAACAAGGGAAGTTACCAGAGTAAGGACCGTATAAATGGATTCAACGGTATTGTACAATCTCTGAAGGTTGTAAAATGTACAGTTCTACATTGTGTTTTTTTCATCCCGATGTCCTTTGAACACACCATGTGACGATGTCTTCTAGCAACAGACTTCAGGCTTCTCAAAATGTTCAACTGGAATTTCAACATTGAACACTTCCTCTTACTGACTGTTTTCACCTGCTGAATGAGAAAGGGAATGCTAGCAGTTGTGGAGGAGGGGGTGTGTTTTTCTCCAGAGGAGCAGGAAGAGCCACCACAAATTCAATGGGCCACCTGTCGACACTGCTTTCATCCTAATTATGCATTTCATTGTCTGTTGGTTTGACCTAATGATCTTGCAACTTATGGACACTGATATCAGGTGAAGGTAGCTCTTACTGCCCTTATATATGTGTGTATTATGTTGGAACTGTGCAGATGAATGTTGTATTCATACTTTGCACGTGACGTCACAACGACTAGCTGGCGGGCAAGAACATCGTTCTCCAGCAACGAAACCCAGTAAACTAATCAAGGCTCTTGCCAGGACGTCGCCAGTTTTACTATACAAAAGTGTGTGTGTGTGTGTGTGTATATATCATATGTATGTGATTTGATATGATGAGAAGAATACATGTTACAGTACACTTACATTAATGTTGTACTGCGTCTACTTAACGTTAATTACTTACTTACAGTTACTTTGCATACATACCATCGTACAGTTATTACTACTACATTAACGTTACAACCTAACAGATTGCTAACAGGATTGTAGGCATTTCACTGCCCCAGCTGCTCTTGTCTGTTGTCTGATGATAAGCAGGTAGGCTACAATGTTTGACATCCTGCTAGCCATATATGATACAGCCTAGTTGGCATACGTTTTTTTTTAAACTAACGTTACTTATCAAGCTGTCATTGGCTGGCAGGCAGGGTGTACATATTCAGATGAAGACTTCATCACACGACGGAACAGATGTCACTTTGTGTATAGCTACAAACATGCCAGCATTAGCAAACATTAGCGGGTAACGTTAGCTAGCTAACTAGTAACACTCACGTTTGCTTTGATTATGAAGATATTCCTGTTTTTCACCTCCCATACGACAGCGCTGTTTACCCATCCACTCTTGAAGAAAAGATAGCTATCCGTACTTTTGTAGGCTTTCATTTTTTGTGACGGATATATGTAAATATGTTTCTTGCCCGTCAGGTAACCATGGTAATCACGTGACTGCAAAGTATGAATAACATAACTGGCCTTCTTTGTTTCAAGAGATTCAACTGACAAAATGCGACTTCTCAACTGATGACTCGAAACCTCAATTCTTAGGTGGCAGCCCTACTAGAGACACTAGAGAGAATTCCTGAACCAGCACCTTCACATTAGGTGTGTGCATCCTTTAAGGTGTACTTCATGTGATGATGATTTAATAGAACTATAATTAATATAACTGAATGTTCAGAGCATGTAGAGAAGCGTTTTGCTTAATAATACCATTAGAGTTCTAACAATATATTGTCATCAGATGTTCCTCACTGTTCCTAAAACTACTTCTACTTTTCATCCTTCCTCTTGACTGTTTAGCAGAGCATAGTTTGCAGTCTGCTCTGCTTTTGTCATCATTTGTCTTAAAATATGTGCTTCTCCTCTGCCTACGTGTTCATCTAACGAGAGGTGAACGTCATATTCCAAAAAGTGATATCTGGTGCGGTGGTGTTGATACAGATTCTAAGATTGCAATACAGCATTGGACCAATACTGGTATCTGTGCATCCCCAATGACGTGGTGCAGGAGGCGTTAAAAGATGGGAGGAATGCAAAATATTTGTTTGTGCCATGGATTTTCTGTTTGCAGTGGTAAACCCGTTGGCCTAAAAAACAATGCTGGAGAATGCAGTTTTTCTTTCCTTTGTGGAAATGTTTGTTTTCCTTTTATTGCTGCAAATCAGTTTTAATTATGCAACTATGACTTAATGATTATTCATGGGAGGTTTTAATCAAGCTTTCTTGAAAAGGTGACTTTAGCAATAAGGTATCTGGAGCAGACTGAGAATATATTTGCATATTTGTTTCATTGTCTTTTGTAATGTTAGTTATACAGAAAAGTTATTTTAAATATTGGAATTTACATTTTGTTTTAAGGTCTTACTCTGAACTTTCATAACTATTTTGTGTCTTTGTGATTGGTTTATCACTGTACTGTTTACTTCCACAGTGCTACGTACTTTGCCATGAGACACAACCTGCCCTGAAGTTCCTTCGACTTCATGCAACGCTACCCAAATCACATTCTACCAATGGACCCTCAGGTTTGTCCGCCCCCTCTCAGCAGCAGCCAGTCGGTGATCAGCGGCATTGACAAATCCCCAGCCAGCACGTTCAAACCGAGCCACTCGCGGAACAGCAGCACAGGATCCTCCAAACAATCCAAACAGGTAACAAGACCCACGGGTACAAGATCTGCCTGTACTGTGTTGTTTTTAGTATGTCAAAAAAAGTTTTCCAGTAATTTGGTTTATTTGGCACTAATGAAAGTGTTTCCTCTGTCAGTCTCGTCACTGGGAGGTGATGGACGACTTGCAGCATATGGATACGTGCTCAGTTCCTGGCTCATCTCTTGACCTCACTATCCCCGGGATCTGTGAGGGCTACTTGATGAAGAGGAGGAAGTACCCGCTCAAAGGCTGGCACAAGGTGAGCACAGCCTCGATGGCATCTTTTCTGCTTTGTCTACACTGCTTTTAAGTGTCATCCTCTACGTTACTGTCTGTTCATCCTGTAAATAATTACAAGTTAACATGATAGACTGAATTAGACTGAAGCAATCTTCTAACCAGTGTCCACTGGAGCCTCTTTGCTTTGTTTCTAACATTTCACTGTAAATGGTCCTTTGCAGAGATACTTCCTGTTAGAGAAAGGAATTCTGAAGTACTCAAAGACACAGCAAGATGTAAGTCATGAACAGAACTGCACCTGCTAACAGCGCCATTTAAACATACTGTACATAACATACGGTAATGAAAACTGTTTAAATACTCTTTGTGGTTGTGTTTTAGATTCAGAGAGGGAAACTCCATGGCTCTCTGGACGTCAGCCTGGCTGTCATGTCCGTCAACAAGAAATCTAAACGCATAGACCTGGATGCTGGAGACAACCTCTACCACCTCAAGGTAACTGACACAACACAGTTCAGATAGATTTCAGGACCCCTCAGGTGCTTGCAGAATTAAGAACACAGACAACATGCTCCAATTCACTATCAGTAAAATCTAGAAGAATCCAAAGTTTACAACTAAATGTTTGGATATTCTTTAACGTGCTGTTAACTGAACTTTTATCGCTCTCTCCTCCTCTCTTCCTGTGTGGTGTTTTCTCTCTCTCCTGTCCTCTCCATTAGGCAAAGAGCCATGACATCTTCTACATCTGGCTGACAAAGCTGTGTGCTCATCGAGTGTTTAGGAAAAACGAGGCAATGAGTGTTCATCATGGCGTCCTTCATGCTCTCTCCTTGGGCCCGAGCACCCTGCCAGGCATGGCCACTCTGGCCCAGAAAAACAGAGCAATGGTCAGTAAAGACTGCAGCCAATGTCACACCTTTTTATCATAAAATAGTTTTTAAAAAATACACGTCTGAATGAAGTTCCTCCGCTGGCAGGGAAACCAGGTTTGTATCATTATTATGAAAATGTGCCCTTAGTGGGTTGTTTCTACGGTAACAACAAAGCACAAAGAATTGTGGCAGGTGGGCTCTATACATGTTTTTTTTAACCACCAGTATGTTGTATGCTTATTCTTACCGCGTACAAAAGATCTGTCGATTATGTTTTCAATTACTTGATCCTTTGCCTAATCAAAAAAAATCTTTTAAATGTATTTCTTAAAATGCTTGTCCTGTTTGACCAAAAAACAACGGTATTCAGTTTCATATGATCATATGAGATGGAGAATTGCAGGTATTTTTGATTGATTATCAAAGTTGTGACTGAATTCTTGTCACTCGTTTAGCTGAGTAAGTGACATTATTAACCGTGTGGCCCACAATGACAAGGTTTTTTTTGTCATTAATTTTATTTTTGACTTAAACTGTGCTGTGTTTGTGGTCCAGCCTTCTCACTACGCCAGCTCAGCATCAGTGTACCAACAAGAGATGGGAAGCCCCGCCCCTGCCGTCGCCTCTCACCCAGGCGTGACCAGCAAGGTGTCAGCATGGCTGCAGCAGACCCACGACATCGATGCAACCTCAAACGGTAAGAATCACCTGTAATCTGTAGTAGTAGTCTGGTACAGTCATATTTCATATTTAATAGTGACAGAATGCATGCATGGATACAGAAAATAAACATTTTTTGACGTGATAGTCTCTGTCTTTGATAGGAACATATTCAAAAATATGTGTGTTTTCCCAATTTGTTAACTGTGACCTTTGACCCCCTGTTTGTCAGACCTGGCTCGCTGTCAGGCAGAGCTGACAGAACTGGCTCAGCTCATCCAGCGACTGCATTGGCTGGAAGGAGGGCTGCCAATCACAAACACAGACCTGGAGATGCGGATCAGCATGCAGGTGAGAACTGTGGTAACAACTGTGAATGTGTGTGACTCTTCAGATTCAGTGGAAAATATTAAAACCGTAGCCTGAGATCACTTGTATGGTGTCTAATCCAATACTATAGTCTTCTTTTAACTACGTGTTCTGTAAAATAGATTGAAAGTATAGATTACAGAAAGTAGACCTTAAAAATACAAATGAACATTCAGCAATAGGATAATGTACTTTTGTATCTGGAAAGAAGCTATAAACCCTGATGGTCTGTTTTAGAATCTCTCCCTGGAGAAACCCAAGAGGAAGGCGGGGAAAGGGGTTGGTCACTCCAGGACTTTGTCCCGTGTTGAAGCCATGGGGGGATTGGTAGGACTCACTTTAAACTCTTTTTCAGGGTTTGGATTCACCTAAATTTTAAACATCCTCCATTCAACAAGTTTTCTCAGTCTAACACATTACATTGCTCTTCTCTTTGTCTTCTCCAGTTCACTTCCAGCCACTTGAGTACTAACAACAGCTCTGGTTTGGGAGCATCCGTTCAATCCATCCCTGGCTACGTCTACTCCCAGCTGTCCAACCCTCAGGTCACCTCACCTGAGGCCAAGAAGCTTCACCATGACATCTGCACTGCTTCTCAGAGGGGTACGGCCCTCCCACCCAACACCTGTATTTCTGTGGCTATTAGCTTTAATTGAGCTAGTTTTGAAAGACAACTTAAGGCTAGAAGTTGCACTAGAGCACCAGCATCTTAGACCAAAACAGTGGGCACTACTGCCGCAAAACGGTCAGCTATGTTATTCCTTGGGGACAAATGTGCCTGTAAAAGTACATCCACTGAAGCTTGTTTTTGTCACTGAAAGACTCAGATTGTTGTAAGTGTCTGATAACATTATGGGAAGGATCCCTACATATTGCCACCCGACTCAATAGACAAAAACTGTACTTTTAGCTCGCATATCTGTGTAACTTAATTTAAAGTGGACAGAAACCATATAAAACTCACCCAAACCACCTTGTTTGTTCCATCAATCACAAACTCTGGTTAGGTTTAAATAGGTGAGATAGAATTGCTCAGGACACCATGACTCCACTATATCTTTACATAGCAAATAGTTTGCTGCTATGTTAATGTTCTGAATCGCATCTCATTAAATAACTGAGTAATCAACAGAAATTGATAAAGTGACAACTTTTGATATGGATATCAATGATATGGATGTAAGCAAAAAATAGTTGGAGTCAAAATGAACCATTTCAACAAGGTGTCTTTTTAGGTTTTGATTAACACTAGTCAATGTGTTGACACTTTTATAAACTAAAATTAATTTTAAAAGTTAAATGCTCTAACCCAATGACTTGCATTTCTACTCTTTATTACAGGTAGCATTATATGTTCATAAACTGAACTTGTAGTTCATGCTTTCTGTGTTGTAGTTCACGCTTCTCTCAAGTCCGTTCACGACGTTTTGACCTTAGAGAGGGAGAGAGTTAGGCAGGCCTGGACCGCCCCGGACCTGAGGCAGAACACCTCACAGCAGCTCGCTTCTCTGTGCACCACACTGTCTGAGGTAACACACTCACCCTCATACACACACAGACACACACACAGAAGCTGAACTGGCCGACATAGAAACAAAACTCAAAAAGATCCTTATTCGTCCTGAAGCTAAAAAAATTTAATTACAACAAAGACTGACTGACACGAATATAGTAATTCCTAACCCTCTTTCACTCTATGTTCACTTAACTCTTTAAGTTAAAAAATACTGATTATAGTCTCAAAATATTAGTATCGGCCTGCAAAGAGACAATGGAGGCCAAGCCCTCGCTGTCTGTTGGTGAGGTGCTGTGTGAAACTGTTAAGCAGGTTTGGGTTGTTTCTAGGCAGAGCAGACACAGGTTATCACAGGCGCGACCTGAAGGAACACACCTCAAGTCTTTCTCTCCTCCATTTCCGCACACACACAAAGACACAAACTGCACGACTGTTATCACACACAGAAACTGAGCCTTGTCAGTCTCAGGGCTCGTTAATTCCTGCTGTCAAACTGCCGGCGCTCAGTAATCCTTCCTGTTTGGTGTTGCATGAGGTTTCTTCTTGGCTGCCTGTTTGCTGTCCATGTTGTATGTTTTTCAAGCATTGGGACAACGCTTGTTGTGACTTTGGTCTTTATTTTGTTTTTGGTTGCCTGGCAGCTGACTGTCACCCTGCATTTTCACAAGAGTCAAGAATTCAGATAATTTTCTCTGCATTGAGAAGAGAGTGGGAATAAATAACTCGTATATGAAAACTTTGTAATTGTTGAACTTATTGATTGGGTGATTTTCAAAGGAGAACTCCACCAATTTTACATATTAATGAGTTTACTCCTCGTGGTTAGTACCAGCCTGTGAAAGGTGTTGGTATAAGGTGTTTTGGAGATTTTGTCAAGAGACAAGGCATGGCAGGAGAAATGAGGCTGTTTACCATTGACAGGGTTATATTTTTCATTTTGACTTTTACAAAGAAAAGCAAATATGTTTTGTTTTGTTTTTTGGCAAAGTTTATATACTACCCAAACAATTTGATTAAGAAAATTCTATTTTGTAAATTTCAGTCTGATAAATAAAGGAATATATTTTTATAATTATCATCTCATTTTGTTAAAGGGAAAAAAAAACAGTGTACTGTTACATCCCTAATTTTGACCGTTGTTTTTAAATCTTGCTCTGGAATGCTCCATAAAACCTGACAATGTTTTCCTATTTATTAAACCTAATTGGTGGAGAACTAACCTGCTAAAATAGTTTAGGCACTTTTAGTACAAAAAAAGTCATAGTTGACCAATTCTAAATACATTAATAGCTGTAGACCACAACAAAGATGCAGCTTTGTCCTCTGGTCCTGCTAACCGTCTGGAGTCTGCATGACATTGTGACTATTTATGTTTGATCATCTGTCTTGTTGTGTCTTGCATGGCTGGTCTGTGTACGTGTGCATGTCCATGCATGTGTGTTTAGCTTGACATACAGTCACGTCTGACCAAAGTCCACTCGCTATCCTTGTCCTCTGACTCTACTGAGGATTCCTTCTGCACCGTCCGTCCTGACCAGGTGTGTACTGTGTTGTGTGTTGGTGTGTGTGAAACAGTCTTTTGGTGAGTCTCAATTTCATTGACTCACTGTCACTCATTTGCAACCATTATCATCCTGCATATGAAATTAGTGGATAAAATAATTTTTCAGAAGCTGTTGTATCACAGCAGAGCACAAAGTGGACGAAGTACAAATGAATGACAGTGTTGTCATGTGGTTGGTGTGGCTCAGGTTAGTTCACTTCATGCTATTTGGACACATCAAGACAATGTGTGTGGACATTTTGTGGGTGCCCGGTTTTATTGGACCGGTACGGTGTACAAGCTTAATCCAGTTTAACTTTATGCAAACCAAGTCATCTATTCAGGCTAATTAGACAAGAAGCAGCTGTCAGCAATGTCAGCCCTTTAGTGTATCAGAGTAACGTTACACACCACAGCTGAGCAGACGGCAGTGTGGAGTTAAGTCTTCACAGTTAGATGCTAACTAGTTTGTGAAATGCATTGTTGGGATGTTAATAAACAATGACCCCACAGGGCTCCAGAGTGCGACCAAAATTTTGAAGAGTGCGACTAATAATTTTTCTAGGTCGCACTGGTGCACCTGACGCTGCCCGGGTGAAAACATAAATTTATTTCGTATTGTGTTCTAAACCAATAGGAGACAGAGCTCGGGCGGATCTTTGCCTCTGATTGGCTGTGGTCCTGTTCACCGCACTAAATTGTGTGTGTTTAAAAATTGCGCGCGACCTGAGCGCGAGAGTAGCTGACTAACTGAAACGGAAAAATAAAATAAACGCAACAAAACGAGGGAAAATGAAGAGAGGCAGAAATATTGAAAGTTTTTTCATAAAGAAAACCAAGCCTACAACCAGCCCTACTACTATAATCCCATCCATCCCCACTACTGAGAGTCCATCCCGTCAAGACACGGAGCCCTCGGTCCCTGGTCAGATGCCAAGCCCCGGTCCTTCTGCGACAGCATCAGACTCGGAACCAGAGGAGGAGACTGAGTCTGGGATAGAGCCCGGCTGCAAGACCCAAATTAAAAAGGCTGAAACAATTTCCCTGGCTGAGGTACAACAAAGGACGTAACGCAATGCACTGCGTGTACTGTCAGGACTGCGGTCAGAATATGGCCGGAAATAGTGCATTCGTGAGCGGGTCAACTACGTTTCGTATCGAAACTTTAAAAAAACATAATGTGTCTAAAAAACACATGATATGCCGTGACAAGTGTGTGTAGAGAAAGTGGCCCCTCTCCCAGCTGCATTTCAGTGGCAGGTAGTAGTAATCATCATTATTATTATCATTAATATTTATTGTACTTTTGAGTGTGAAGCAATTTAAGCACAAGCACTTTTATTTGGAAATGTTTTATTTTGCTTAGTGTTTTAATTTGAAATGTTCAATTTCAGCTCAGTGAAGCACTTTAAACACTTTATTTTTTCTTCAAATAAAGACAAGCATTTCTCTACACCTTATTCTTGTTTAAAAATCATTCACATTATATGAAAGTTATGGAGAGCAATAAAAAGGTGACCTTATGGCGTTAAAGGCGACGCAATGAAAAATTTGGGTGCACCTAAATTTTGTGCTGGTGCACCAAAAAAAAAAAAAAATTAGGCGCACCAGTGCAACCAATGCAAAAGGTTAGTCTGGAGCCCAGCCCCATCATTTTCCCTTTTTAGTATAATTCTGATTAAACCTGTCCCTGACAACTGTCATGTCACACATGCTTATCACATCTTTTTGCCGCGTTTGCACGGTAGCTAGCCAGCTATGTCTGTCAGTACAGTGAGTAGCATAGCAGATTGAAAGGGAACAGGTTGTTCGCAGGGTCTCTAAAATCCAATCATTTGAATTTCAGGCCTCGATCTATCTTAAACTGTTAAATATGATTTTGACACGTCTTGACAGGATTAATAAAATTGATGCTCCTTTTTATAAAGTTGCATTTTTCAGTCTTTGTTTTGATCTTTCTTTTGATAATGCTGTAACAGCTACAATATGCGACCCAGATGGAAGCAATATTGATTTTCCTTTTTATACTGTTTTTTTTATCTATATTTATTAATTTTTATTTTATTTTTTTGTTTGTGTGGATGTAAAATCGGTCTTAAATTGCTTTCATAATGGTCTTAACAGCATAAATGTAAGACTTTTTAATACAAACTCATCACTTTCTATCCATTTCAAATTAAAAGCCCTCTAGCCTTTCCATGGACAGAAAGCCTTCATTTATTAACAAGGCTTTCATTTAACATTTGCAGGAACATGTTATGGAAAACTCATTGACTTGCAACTCCACCCATTCATGGGCTTTTATGTTCCACTCAGGAGCGGTTCTGTCACATACAACACCTAGTGGTAGAATTTGGTATTACCTGTTCAGTATTTAGCTTAATATTCATACTTTGCAGTCACGTGATTACCATGGTTACCTGGCGGGCAAGAAACATATATATATTTACATATATCCGTCACAAAAAATGAAAGCCTATAAAAGTACGGATAGCTATCTTTTCTTCAAGAGTGGATGGGTAAACAACGCTGTCGTATGGGAGGTGAAAAACAGGAATATCTTCATAATCAAAGCTAACGTGAGTGTTACTAGTTAGCTAGCTAACGTTACCCGCTAATGTTTGCTAATGCTGGCATGTTTGTAGCAAAGTAACTGTAAGTAAGTAATTAACGCTAAGTAGACGCAGTACAACATTAACGTAAGTGTACTGTAACATGTATTCTTCTCATCATATCAAATCGTGTGTGTGTATATATAGAGACAGACAGACACAGCACACACACACACACACACGTATAGTAAAACTGGCGACGTCCTGGCAAGAGCCTTGATTAGTTTACTGGGTTTCGTTGCTGGAGAACGATGTTCTTGCCCGCCAGCTAGTCGTTGTGACGTCACGTGCAAAGTATGAATCAACCTTAAAATCAGCCCAACCCTAGTGTGTGTTCTAACAAGTTTCTCGCCTGTGTGTCTGATACTCCTCCTGCCTGTTGGCCCTGACTCTTACTCTTACAACCTGTTAATTTGAAAACTGAACAATAGTTTGAACCACAAATCCTTTCCTCCTCCGTGCTTCCTCACAGAGAACACCGTCTATGGGTCGTCACAGTCGCCGTGCACCCTCAGTGGCAGAATCCATGGCAGAGTATTTTGATGCCAGTGAGGTGATAGTGTGCGAGACCTCATCGGAGGCCGAGGCTTCGGATGAGTCCGGCCTGAGCGACATCACCACCACCAGCACCTCAGAGCCTGAGGAGGGACATGGTGAGTGATTACCTGCAGTCCAGTAGCAGGCAAATTAAGATCAACTTTGACTGGTATGACTGACTGAGTCTTTCTTTCTCTTTTTCTTTCCTTCTCTCTGTCTCTGTCTGTCTGTCTCCCCCCCCCCTTCAGCCACTGCCACCCTCAACTACCGGGCCAGTCTGAGCGCCGCTGATAAACCCAACCCAGTGCCCACTAATACTGGTAAGACCACCGTTTTGTCTCATCTATACTTTGACTGTTGTCTACTTCCAGTCTAAGCTCTTTGGAACTGATTTCAGACCAGAAATGGAAGACACTGCTTCCTGATGTTAATAATGAGCGGACTGGCTCGGCAGTGAAAGCACACAGCTGTTCCTTACAGCACAAACCTGACTGAAAGTCTAAACTCTTTGATATACATTAATTTTGAATACAAGGAGGCATCACTGCATGCAACGAACATTCATTGGATCCAGCTGCTCTGGTGTCACAGTGATACTTTTTCTATTTGAAGTCTTTGTCACAAGCATTCTCAAATTTAACAAGTTAGCCTAAACACACGTGGTATCACACAAAGGTATAATTTGTCAGTATAAGTCCTGTAACATTACTGGCCTGATATTCCACTGAAGTGAAGTTCTGTGGATGCTGCTGTGTCATCTTTACAAAACAGCTGACTAAAGACACATGTCTAAATTAGTCTTTGTTTTTTGTTTTTCCAGGGATGCACCTTTTGGTTGATACGATGTTTAAAGTTACAATTTAGCTGATGGCCGATAGCAGTGTTTTTGTTATTTTCCCTTTCGTGCCAGGGGGGAAACAAAAATCTATAAAGATGGGTTCTGTGCCTTGTTGCAGCTCCATTTATTTCTCTTCTCATCCAAAATGTGAGACGTAGACCTGAACAGTTGGAGTTAATTATTTCTCCAATATCAGTTGTAAATGACCAACACAACATTTAGCCAGTGCAAAATGTATGTGACACAACAGATAAACACCGGCCACTGATATTAGTGAATGCCATTTTATTTGCCGATAGGCAGATATCAGCCGATCCTGATCAAGCCAATATATCACTGCATCCCTAATATTTTTTTATTCTTTGTGGATTATTGGCTTACAAGAAACCCTTTGTGATTTGATTTTTTTTTTTGGATGATTTTTCCTTTTTAATTGTATGGATTTGTGTTGCTGTGATCCAGGCCGTCGCACAGCCCTTCCCGCCCCAGGATCAGACAACAACCACATTGGCATCATGACCATCCTGTACAACAACATCGGCAAGGACCTGTCCAGAGTCTCCATGCCGATCGCTCTCAATGAGCCATTGTCTTTGCTGCAGAGACTGAGTGAAGAGCTGGAGTACTCAGAGCTACTGGATATCGCCAACCAGATTGACGATCCATATGAGAGAATGGTTAGTTTGGTTTACTTCTAGAGTCTTAACCAGCTGGAGCTGAGAAACAGTTGAGTTCAGTGGCAAGTTTATTTAAAAAAAAAAAAATCTTTCCCAGGTTTATGTAGCAGTGTTCTCCATCTCTGGATATGCCTGGGCAACCTGGAGGTATGGCTACAAACCATTCAACCCTGTTCTGGGAGAGACCTACGAGAATCCCAGAGAAGACAGAGGCTTCAGCTACGTCGGTGAGCAGGTAACTAACAAGGAGGATGAAGCAGCATGATGATCAAACCTCTGACTTAAGAACATAGTGGAATCATGTGTTATATGTATATATATTTATATGTATATGCTTTCAGGTCAGCCATCACCCTCCCATCTCCGCCTGCCACGCGGAGTCCGAAAACTTCACTTTCTGGCAAGGTAGGAGCCGTGCGCATAGAGATGAGTGCTGGATCTGTCTTTACGGTATGAGTGGACCTAATGCTATGTGTGTTTCTGTCTGCTCTCAGATCAGAGATGGAAGTACAAGTTCTGGGGGAAGTCGGTGGAGATCATCTCTTCTGGAATGGTCAATGTTACCTTGCCCAAGTGAGCTGCTGCTACATTGAACAACAACTGTTACACAATGCAGATAACAGCTAGACGTACAGCAGTAGTATAAATCAGTGATTACCAACCAGGGAACTGAGAGCCCAGCTCTAGATGGTTAAAAAAAAACTAAAAAACAAGTCTGTAGAAAAATGCTCAAAATTATTTGGAGTTTAATATTATTGCATTAATTGTGTGTGTGTGTAGGTACGGTGATCACTATGAATGGAACAAGGCAGTGACCTGTATCCACAACGTGCTAAGTCAGCAGCGCTGGTTGGAGCACTATGGTGAGGTGGTTATCAAAAACACAAAGAGTGACGTCTGCACCTGCAAGATCACCTTTGTCAAGGTCAGGCACACACACACACACACACACACACACACACACACACACACACACACGTCTTCATTAAATTAGCCTTTCCTCTGCGACTGCTACTTCAGTTGGAAAGCAGAATAATGCACATGGTTGTCCTCTAACCACACTGACCCTTTCCTCCCTGTCTTCCAGTCTCGCTACTGGAGCTCAGACAACAGTAAGAACGAGGTGCAGGGCGTGGTTCTGGACCGGGCCGGAGAGGTGGTTCATCGTTTTGGAGGCCTCTGGCACGAGGGCATCTTCTGTGATACCCTGCCTACACCAAAGTGCATCTGGAAGCCCAGTGAGTAGCATCCATTCCTGAGTTTTGGGAATCCTTAAAAACCCTGACATATCTAGGTTGTTGACCTCATCTATTGTAACATTACTATTAAATACACACTAACTTTCTACAGAGCCACCACTGACTGACACCCAAACACTGAGACACACTTCCATTTTCCCACATTGTCTGATGTTTAAAGTCTCAATATGTATGATGTTATTTCCTATTTAGACGTGCAGCCTGATGACTACTCCGACTTTTACGGCTTCTCTCAATATGCCAGAGAACTAAATGAACTGACGCCTGAGCTGAAGGCAGTCCTCCCGCCTACAGACACCCGCTTCAGACCAGACCAGAGGTACAAACAGGATTCTTATTTATTTAAACTGGTAAATGTGGTGCTTTTCACCCCACTTCTTGCACCATCTCCCACTTGTTTAATTCCTGCCCCTCAACTCTCCATCAGGCTCCTGGAGGAGGGGAAGTTAGCAGAGGCAGACAAAATGAAGGATATGGTGGAGGAGAAGCAGAGGGAGAGGAGGAAGGAGATGGCCAAGAGAGGGGAGGAGCACGTCCCCAGGTTCTTCAGGTGAGGGGCTCTGCTATGGAACATTTGGGAAAGAAAACTTAACATTACACATTTATCCACAATTTGTCCAAGTTTGTAACTATTAAAATGTTAAAGGAATAGTAATCGGTCTACCAGTATCTCTAATGCAACAAATTACTGGTACTGTAATGGTTTTAATCTGTAACCCACATTGTGGTTTTATGAAGTAAAGAAGAAAAGAAGTCACAATGAAGTCAAAACGGGCAGAATGCAGACAGTGCACAATTTTCTCCCAAATGAATGTCCAAAGGAAGTGGAGGAGCTGAAAAAATGTTTAACATTTTGGTGACTCTGCCTTTTGCCAGTACATACTAATTATACAGAGTACATACTATATAGTAAAATAAATATACACGGTATGTTGAATGTTTGCTTGGCAAAAGGCAAGTCATCTGACCAAGATGTAGTCCAGCACATATCCTCCCCATAAAACCACTTGTCTTTCATTTGCTTCAGTTTTTGTACAGATTAAACACAAGATATTTAATGAATTTTGTTGGACAGAGCCAGACTAGACTAATATTTTCCAAAATGTCACACTATTCCTTTAAATGTTTAACGTTAATGTTAACAGAAACAACATATTTCCAAGATGATTGCTCAACAGCAACACATTTCTTTTGTTTACTATCTCAGGAAAACTCTGGATGAGGCCGGCAGAGAGGTGTGGCTGTCCAATGGAACCTACTGGAAGCTCCGCAAAGACCCAGGCTTCGCCAAAACTGAAAACCTGGACCTGTGGTAGAACACTGCACCTAGTGTGAAATGAAACTAGCCAGGTGCTAAACACATGGTAATGTGATGAACAATAACGGCCTTCTGTCAGTAAAAATGATGAATTGTACCTCTTAGTCTAATAATCTGTGCATGAATATACTCTAGTAACTGCCATTACTGTGAGGATGAAGAGGAGAAGAGCGTTTGGAAGCATAAATGAACCTCTCATTGGGTTTTTTAGTGCCATGTAGGGGTGAGGTGCCACTATGGAACAAATGAAGACTGATTTAGATGAGGCCGGATGTCTTTCCAACCTTTCGCCTACCTCTTTCCATAATGGAGACCTTCAAAATAATCATTCATGATTCAAAAGCAAATCTTAACTTGAAATCCAGTTTTATTGCTGCCCTTGAGAAAATTGTGGGTAAAAGTTTTTCTGTCAGGACTGAGGCCTCTCTCTGTGTAAAGTGTCTTATATTTGTGGGACAAATGTCAGATTATATGTTTTAACATATCTGTATAAATATTTTTAGTCAGGCTCATTTTTATGACATTGTGATGAGCTCAGGAATAGTTTGAGAAGCTCGATTCCTGCGGAGGGATCCAGAACACATGCAGGGCTTATTCTGGTGCTTGTGGGGTATATTCTAGGTGAACTGGTGCTGTCCTGCTTGTTTTCTCAGTGGGTCTTACTGTATGAACTTGTGTTGATTTGTAAATTCAGTGTGTATTTTCTGATGTTTAGTTGTGACACATTGGTGATGCATTGTTTTTACAAGCTGTCCTTGCGCTGGTTAACCCTAGCAGCCACGTTGGCCGTCTTTCTCTCGCCTGTATGAATTGTTCATGTCCAAAATGAGCTGACAGACGAGGATTTTGTCTCTTGGACCCTTTATGCTATCAGTTGATGCAATGAAGTATTTTTATTGATGTTTCAACAATGGATTTTAATAAGGAAAAGAGACTACTGTTAAAACTTAGTGAAATGTTTTCTTCTTAATGGTTTAGTTTCAAATAAAAGGTTCAATAATCAACTGTTTTGTCTACTTTTGAACTTGTATTCACTCACTTATTCATTTTACTGGCTTTTTAAGAGTTATAACTGCCACTCATTTGACTTAAAGGTCCAGTGTGTAACATTTAGGAGGATCTATTGGCAGAATTTGAATATAATATTTATAGGTATGTTTTCATTGGTGTATAATCACCTCAAAATAAAAATAATTACTTTTTTTAGAATAAGCTAGGAGTGGGTCCCCATGTTGAACACTGGCTCTAGATATGGCCTTTTGCGTTTGTCATGAGCTTTGAGACCACTGTAGTTTCTCCTACACGCTTGATTGAGGCAAGCTGCATTCAGTTGGTTGTAATCTGCAACTTCACCACTAGATGCCACTAAATCCAACACTGCTCCTTTTAATTAATTTGATGTGATCATTTGAATGTGGCTGGAAGGAAATGGGCAGAAATCATTGAGGCATGATGGATCTGTTGGTACACATTCTAGTAAGGCACTCTATATAGAAAGGGGCTTATCTCACTGCTAGTGTTGAGGGGTGGGGGCCGCACCCTTTGTTGGACTTGTAGGGAAAATGGTTTACCCAAGAATGCTTGCCCAGTGTTGCTTGGGTGACCTGGACCCGGACTGCCTCCATGTTTGTAATAAATCCTTGTGGCAGGTTTATTATATGCTGAAATGTTCATGCTTTAGTTTTAAAATGCACAAATGGTTTGCCTAACTGGCCCACTATAAACAAAATGTGTCACAAATAATCTTACATTTTCTGTGCACTTTTCCCAACTAAGTAACTTTTGTACAGTCCCAAACAAAACCTGATGTCTCTCGGGATGTTTGACACATGCTGCTCACACTATTGAACCACATCATTATTACTGACCTTCAACATGTAACACACTTATTTTTTATTTAATATTACCCTTTATTATTTTTTATATTATTCCAGATCATTTACAGCACAAATCCCTGTCCACAGTTCTACATATGATTTATTAAAGCATTCACTCTCTCTCTCTTGCTGATGTTGTAAACAGTGAAGTAACAGTGAGGTATTCATGACTACAGTGAGTGGAACAGTGAGCGTCCCCTGCTGGCTGCGTTCAAATCCTCATTTAACAAAGCTAAAAGTGCATAATCAGTTTGTCAGAGTAAATCATTCTCAGTGAAGCTTGTAAACACAACTACGACGTATAATAAAGTTAACTGCAAAAGATATTGTCAAAAGTCAATCTAGTCAACAATACACTGTTAAAAAGTAAAATAGTTGTAATATAATGAAGGAACTCCTGTTGAAATGTCCTCTGAATGCAACCAGCACCACCAACACAGGACGATATGGCAGTTTCCCCCTCTAACATCTGAAAACTTCAAATTAAATCTACAGGTTTGATGGCATCTATAAACCAGAGCGTGCAGGTAACAGACACCAATTTTCAACCGTTTAAGCCGAAAGGACAGAGTTTTACAGTTTTCTGTTTTTGGTGTGCTTCTTTACTTGTACATACTACACACATTATGTTACGTCTGACATCTACCTGGCTGAATGTCTGCACAGACACATATGTAATGTAGCAGACTTTTGGCTCCATCCACACTGCGGTGTTTCTTGATTGCCTCCAATTTTCTTCTCAAATATGAGACTAGATTTCAAACTGACTTCTACATTTTTACATATTTGAGGTTGTAACCAAATGACAATCAAAGGTACCCTGTGGGGGGTTCATATAATATAAGGACTGACATGGACATGTCAAACACAGTCAGGGTGCTGCTATTGTACAATAATACCACTGGTAACACCTGTATTTACCCTACTATTCCAAGTCAAAATGGCTGCTGTGAAGTTAAAATAACTTGTAGTTATCTTTTAAGCAGACATAAAAAACGCTTAGACAGTGCCAGCTGCAGTGTGAATGGAGCTGTAGTTCAAGAGAGAAGCAGCTACATACAGTAGCACCCAATGTAACACAGCTAACTGCTAAATCTTAAACATTACCAGAAATAATAAGAAAAGAAAGAAAAAAGAAAAGCCTTTCACCTTATTCACTTTCCAAGAGGTTTTTCCGAGAGGTTAAAGTGACAGAGATTCAAACATTTTGGAGAAACACATCAATAAAGTGTATCCTGAAATGATGTCATAGCCCTAACCTAGTACTGTATGTACAATGAGTGTAATATTGTACATGTTACTATGTACACCAGTGCACCTGCACTTAAACTCAATGTGTCAAGTCCACATTTTCAGTTTGGGACAAAGCATACTTGTGTAATTCCACAAACTGTGTTACAGAAAACTTTAAATTAAAAGTATGCCAGTATGCATTCTCATCAGTATACTGAATGCAGTGTTGAGAAGAACCACAGATATGATCTGTGCCAAACAAGTGACACACTCCAGTGCTTCCTTGGCAAACTTGTCACGCAGGCCATGGGAACAGCATCATATCCAGCTCTGTTTGTCTTTGCAGATGTTGTAATCCCTTGTCCCTTCACCAGGTGGAGACAGACCACCACACTGAGGCTAATGGAAGACAGCGGGAAGCATTCCAACAAGCATTATTTTAAGTATGAGGTTTATGAAGTAGTCTGTGTGGTTTGTCCAGACTCCCACAGACATGAGAGGATTACAACCTGAAATAAGTTTAAAAGCAAATCTTTGGGACAGTTTTCTGAGCTGTCTCAGAGATTCCTGACTCCACACCAAGGTCACAGGTACAGAGCCCCCCAGGGGTCATTTAATAGAAATACTGGCTTAGATATCTGTATCTATACGTTCGTTATACGTATTGTATTTGTTTTTATGCCATAACGCCACACAATTCCATGACACTAAACATGAATAGAGCTTTTTCACAATAGCCATTTTGACTGCTGTGAAAAAGGTCTACTGTGTTTTAAAGGTAACATCATGCCTTACATGCCTGAATCTTTACAAGCTGGCATACCTGTCTCATGGTCACCATCAACTTCTAGCACTCGTTCTTTACTTTCACTCTCAAGCCACAAACTAGTTCTAATCCTATAGAAGTTGCTTAGTCCGGCACATTTGGCCAGCTTGTATTCTGGCCTTTTCAGCTCCACCACTTCTCTTTTTCTCCATCTTGTCTTTTTTTATGTCTTACTCACATCTTCTATCAAGTACCCCGCCCTTACTGCAGTGGGCAGGGCATTGCTTAATGCGGTCGGAGTATAAGGTCAAATGTGATTTTGTCATCAATCACTTGCTCAATTGTAACCTCTTCTGCAAGTGTAGCCTTCATGATATATTTATAAAATGATTGTTTAATGTCACAGTCACTGGTCCTTGTGGTGGCCCACCTGGAATCTTCCCATTTCTCCCAATGAGTCCTAATCTTAATGACTGGTGATCTCCTGACTTTTCACCTCGTACCACCAGCAGGTCCAAGTTTTGACTCATCCAGTAAAACAACTCGACATCCACCCGATTGACTGGTACACAATCTTGTGTCATTCATGAATGAATTCTACAGACTTCTGTAATTCTGAGACATTTTCCTCTAGCAACAATTGGAGGAACTGTTAAAACGTTGGTGATCCTCTGAACGTTCATCGAGCACAATCCTCTGGTCAAAATTTTCACTTGTTCAATACTTTGGTTTATGACCAAATACCTTCCAAAAATCCCATCAGCCTCAGCTGTACTTTGTGTTTAGTGCTAATTAGCTAATGTTAGCACGCTAAACTACTATGTTAACATTGTTGTTATTAGCACGTTAGCATGCTGATGTTAGCATTTCCGGGCACTTGAGAACCAACAATGATTCTGGAGTCAAAAATCTCAGAGACAGCTATCTCAAAACAAATGTAATCAACTAAAGAGTCCCTTACTAGCTTAAATGGAGCTTTAACCACATTATATGGTCTTCATCAGCAGATTGAATCAGCAAAATCTATCCATTGTATCGTCTTGAATTTGATGTGATATTGTTGAAAGCTCTGGCTAGAAAATAAACACATCATGGACACACAGAGGTCAAACTGTGACCAGTGTTCCTGTCCTAAAATTGTAACTTAATAAAGATGTCACTGCGTTTCTGAGGAACTGTAACGATGGAATGAAAGGAGGTTCAATTCTTGCACACACTGGTGTCCAGCTACCGCGTGTTCTGGTGAAGTGTCCTTCCAAGGTGGTGGATCCTTACCTGCTGTTCATCATACCATAAATCCTTCTAAATAAGAGCGAAATGTATAAAAATCTCTGCTGTCCCAGGAACGACCCACTGTGTAGTTATAATGAAGATTATTTAGCTTCATTAATAGTTTATATTTTCCTCATTTTTTGCTTAATAAGTTTGGCTTTCATCCTTGACACAATAACAGCTTTAAGTCAAAAAATCTGTTTCAGTCTCTTTAAATATGTGCCCATACTCCAGATGAGTCCAGGTCTTTTCAGCGCAGGAGCCCAGATGTGAGGGAAATTATAAGAGATGTGTGATATTTCTGGCTGGTGGCTGATCTTGACCTTATTCTATCTTTGTAGTACCATGAGAGATTTCTGGAGCTACATTTCTCTAAAAGCAATATGTAAACTCACGAGTGTAAAATCTAATGTGAAACTGGATTGTAAAACATCTTATGCCTTATGTTGTCATTTCTTACACTTTTCTATGTATGTCCATACAAGTTAGATGATAGACTTTTTAAAACTTCGGGACTAAGTCATAAATATCCTTTTATAACTTGTCTCATAGTGATAGGAAATATTACTATGACTTGAAGATTAAAATGTCATAATTTTGATCAAGTATCTCACAATTTTAAGCTGCGATACTTGGCATATATAGCATATATTATGAGTTAAGTTATAACATTTCTATCACATAATTATGAAGCATTAAGTGATCATTTTAAGATACTATGTCATAATAACTAGATAACTCATAAATAACAATTGAAGACATAAAGTTTCCCACTAATAATTTATTATGAAATACTATCTCATAATTAGAGAAACGTTCACATAATTATGAGATACAAAATCATAATTACGTCATAACAACATGTTATAAATTAGATATTTTGAGATTATGAGATAATTATGAGGGGGGAAAACTATAATCATTAGATATTATGCGATATCTCATTATGCACAATGTTCCCATAATTATAAAATAGTAAGTCATAGTTATTAAGATAATATGTAACATTTATGAAGAAAAAACATTTAATAATTTAAAAAATAACTTTTTTACCAGTGGCAGAAATGGGCTTCCATAGGTCATTACAAAATAAAGGTTGTGGTTGAACCAAGGCACTTTCATTACCACAGCAGGAGTTGGCAGTAGGTGCTTGTTCAATTTCTTTTCATTCAATTACATTTTTACCATGGGAGCATTTCACACTCTTGAGTTTACATATAGATTGTTTTGGAGGTCCACTAGCCTGTAGATTGGCCCCTTTCACTGTTATCTTGTTTGCTGTATCCATTAAACTATCATGTAACCATGAACTGTTCTATATAGCCTGTGTCATATGTTTGGAAACTGGCTATTAGACTACATCGTGTTCATTTTGCCATCACATCCAAACAAGAGGACGATACTAACTAAATCACTTCTGCCAACAATTCTTAACCTCTGAATCATTTTACCTCAAAATAGTTTGTAGCAAATGGTAATTTTGATCACCCACAAAGCAACATGAGAGCTGTGACATCCATGTTGAGACATGAAGACAACAGGCGCCTCTGACATTGCATGTGTCGGATGTTACCAGAAAGTCCTCTCCCTCCAAGGCTGCTCCCAGACCAGCATATGTGACGATACCAATTGAGCTTCAGCAGTGTATGTCAGATGTCAGTGTATCCGAGAGATGTTGTCTTTTCTACCTCTGCTATTTCCTTAGCACTCAGGTCTATGTACAAATGAAGAGTTTGGTTGTGATACAGAATGTGATACCGATATGGAGCGTTGTGAGGAATGTTAGGCAATGTACAGATGTCCTCAGTGAAGAAAAAGGAAGAGAATGACTCTTGAGCCTGGAGGGTAGAAAAACAAACTTGGTCTATAACTGGAAGGTCGCTGGTTAGATTCCACAATCAGGATGGAAAGGCAGAGGTAAGTGCCCCTAGAGCAGGGCATGTAACCCCTGTACCAGAAGACTCCAGCTGTACTGGGCAAGCTCCATAGAAAGAAGCATGCAAGCTCATCAGACCATTCCTGGATAAAAAAAACTATCATGGTGGGCCTGGTGTCCATCTCGGGTGAAAATGGGTGTAAAATGCTTAATTTAAAAAAAAAAGGAAAAAAAGTCAGATCTTGCTGTTCTCCAAGTGGGAGTCGATGTGTTTGATCAGGGCATCATCAGGGTAACCAGTTGGGAAGGTCAGCTGACACAGAGGACAGCTACGAACAGCACTCTCTTCTGACTCCATCCATAACTATAAGCAGAAGAAGACACAGGTGTCAAATTACTGAACCTCAAATTGCAGCAAAATCACAGAATTTATTCTTAATTTTAACAAAAAATTACGGAGCAGCGTTGTAGTTGTGTCTATTAGAGGATGTGTCCAAAGCAATAATCAAGATATTAATATTATTCACATGACTTTGTGTAATGTGTAAGGTGTTTCACAGTTTCATTTTAGTCTGTATTTTGGTCCTCCTCAACTCAAGCTATATGAAGATTAGAAAATGCAAGGGATGTCCTGTATAGTTGACTAAACTGTCTTACATGAGGCACTTTTCATTAGTTGGATATTTGCATAAAAACTAAAACAACATCAAACTCTATTTAAAAGCCACAAAACTCAATCGTCCTGTCTACTAACCAAGCCCTCTGGTGGTTAGGAGGATTAATACCTAGATACATTTTTCTCATCCCACAGCAACAATAAAATAATACAGCTAACAGCTAATAAAAAATTAAAGCAGACATTTAAAAGCAACCCAAATAAATAGTTCGGATTGGTGGTCATAAGTCCTCCTCCCTAGTGCTCAACACCGGAGTCCCTCAGGGCTGTGTGCTCAGCCCCTTCCTGTTCAGGCTGTACACCCATGACTGCATCCCCTGACATGCAGACAACTCTGTTGTGTAGTTTGCAGATGACACCATCGTCATTGGCCAGATTTCAAACAATGTTGAGACTTCATGTCAGGAGGAAAGCAACAATCTTGTGGTGCACAGAGAACAACCTACTGCTTAAAGTCAGTAAAACCAAGGAGCTGATTGTTGATTTTAGGAAAAACGAGGCAAAGACACATACCCCTCTACATCAGTGGAGCCGAGGTGGAGCAGGTTTGGGAATCAACATCACAGAAAAGCAGTCATGGTTCATCCCCACAAGGACTGCAGGGAATTAATCAATTAGTTGCTTTATGTAATTCTCATTGTTTTCTACTCACATTAATGGAGGGCCATGACTGAGCATGCTCATTGTTCATGTAGGGAGGCAGATGGCAGGAAAGGGTTGCAGGGCCCTCAGGGGCAGAGAAGGAGGGATGGTGGAGTTGTTTCCTGGGAGATGGGAATGAGGGGTGTAGGGGCTGGTCCCTAGGCGACGATGAGCCAATCCCAATTGCGCCGAGTGTCCGTGGCGGGCTGGCAGCCGGCGATAGATACGTACACACATCCTGTAAATTAACACAACACACACATCCTCAAGATGAATAACCCAGCTTTAAAACTACGAGAGGAGCCACACATCATTATCATCGACATCACCTCTTCATCATCAGAAGACTGCGGCGGTGTCACCAGTGGGGTGGGCTCAGGCGGGTTGTCAAGGCGACAGAAGTGATGTACCTGGGTGAGAGGAGGGGCAGGGGAACACTTGATGATTTCTTCAAAAATAATGCAGTTTCAAGGGTTATAGAAGAGCTACAGAGGTGAGGCAAACCATCATCGACTCCAGTATGCTGCAACTTGTACAGTGTGATGTAGAAACTTGAAGCCACCAGTGCTCATCCACAGAGAATGGACTTTACAGTGAAGTAGGAGACATTTTGTGTCAGGAGGAAAACTTTAGAAATGAACATTTGCATATTCACAGATTCTGGAATTTTAAGGATTTTAATGTGAAAATGATCATTTCTTTGAGGAAAAAAGGCAAACATTATTGTTCCAAGCAGACTATTTGTATATATGTCTTAATACATGTCTGGAGGGGATCTTTATCTACATATGATTGTGCATATGATATGTTAACAACTTGCAAAGCTCTAGGTATATTTTAATTATTAATTATCCAGATTCCTAACATGCCGATGTTTAGCAGGTAACGTTAACCATGTTATCAATTTTAGTTAGAATGCTAACATTTGCTAATTAGCGTTGAACATTTTCTCACCAGATTGATATAATTAAGGTATTTGCTGAATCTATGAGTAATAGTATGAATCAGGTAATTAGGTATGAGAACATATCAGCTAATTAAAGTCATTTTCTATGAGCCCTTTGAAACTATGGGGACACATTAAGACTATTAACGTTGAGGAAATTTACTGAAAGCTCTCACCTCAGCAGCCAGAGGGAAGCCCAGGTCCAGAGCACAGTGATGAGGACTACTGCTCAGACTGCTGCCCCCTACTCTCTCTCCTCCCCCTCCTCCTCCTCTCTCCCCTCCAGCTCCATGAGCTGAGGCTGGTCTGACCAGCCCCACCAAGGAGGCACGGAGCTGAGATTTGGATAGGCCGTAACCCTGCGTCTCCCCCAGGAGGGGCCTGGGCTTGGGAAGAGTGGATACTGGATCCCTCATCAGGCGAGCTGAGGGTCTGTGGATGGCAGACGGGTCAGATACCTGAGAAAAGGGGAGGAGGTCAAAGGTCATTATGAAAAAGTTAAGAATTTTCCAACTAAGTTACACCAAAGATTTCCAGCCTCACCTCCGAGTAACTACGGCGACCCTGGAATTTTGCTCGTAGACGGCTGCTGGTTGGCTGATGGGAGTAGGAGGCGGGGCCATCGTTTGGCGACAGAGGAGGAGAGGGGGCTGGGAGGAGCCTGTCAGGGGAGAGGGAGGGGCGCTGGGGGGAGGTGGGGGAGAGACGCTGAGGAGCAGGGGGAGGACGAGAAACTGGGAGAGGAAGAAAGAAAAAGAGAGAATGGTAAAAGGATTTAAGCTTCGTATCATTTCAGTTGTCTTTAGTTTGGAGAGAATCAGAAGCAAAGCTTGGGATAGAAACAACATGTGACAAAACTTCATCAGAAGCTGCCTGGGGATGAAGAATTTCCTAACCAGAACATGGCAATTAGTGATTGGTAATTAGGGGCACTGGCATGGAGATACACAGCAACTGGTGATCCCTTTCAAAGTAAGGCTAATGTCAGCTTAAAGAGTTGCTACAGTTCAAAAGATTTGTTTTTCTAAAATAAGCCTCTACAGAAGTGTGACCCGATCGGGTGAGTCAAGCAGCAGGGCCAAGCTCTGTAGTCTTTCTACAGTCAGTTGTTTTTATCACAAAGCTCTAATAAATCATAAGGGGCTACGTAATATGGTACATCCCAAGTCTCTTAGACACACAGAGAAGCAATATTTCCAACTGCTTTGTCCGCTGTTGTTGTTACAAGTACAGCGCGCTTGTTAATCTAATAATGATTAAAGCTGTTTGTATGTTAGTTTCACACATATCGGAGAGGACAGGAGGGATACTGTCTGATGTCTGTGTGTTTGATGTCAAGAATATGATTTATTTTACTAACATTTTAGATTTGTGTCCAGTGAGATATTATTGAGTTTATATAGTAACTTTGCTGACGTTACTGTTACTTGCTCTAGAAACAATATTTATGTTTTATACATAAATTCTTATCCACTTTAGGACATATATAGAGGAAGTCACACACACACTCACATATATAGACAGATATATATGAGGCAGCCATATGCTCTAGTGTTACTAGTGTTACTTATTCTCAATAGCTCGAACATAATCCCTCCCCCCAAAAAATTGGTTTGACCTACTGGATGGCATATTTAACAGCAAACTAAGCTAATAAATAAAACTGGAGGATACAATAATGACCAAAGCCCAACACACTACATGGGTTGCATTCAATTTAGTTAGAGCGAAACATGAAAGAAAACAGATGTTGGACATTTCTGTTTCCATTTTATGGGTGCACTAATGCTTTCCCTCCACTGGTACCTGGGTGCAAACACAATACCTTCAATGACATTTCACAGGCTAATGTGATCTGTTCTCTGCGAACAGACACTGGGAAAAATCATGAAACTGTATAATGATACACTAAAACATGGATATATGCAATAAAAGCACACACACATGCTTTGTTAGTGAGCCCCAGTCCATTTTTCTGAACTTTCAGGCTAGCAGAGTTTCAGCATAGACAGTCTCTCTAACCGTTCAACTACCCTTCAACTGCTTTAAAATATCTAATGATGCTATGACGTCCATGAGCCAAGAGGCCAGTCAGGTGACCTACCAGGCTCCTGTGAGACATGTCGCAGAAGGTCACTCTGTTTCACAGCCAGACTGCGAACACGACCCAACTCCTCTGTTAGCTCAGTGTAGGCCAACGCTAGGTTCACCCTGCAACACAAGGAGAGTGACTGAGTAAATAAATACACATAAACAAACTGACACATAACTGTTCAGAATATTCTCCTGTTTGAACTAAGACTCACTGTTCGTCCCCGGCTTTCTTTATCCACTCTACGTCACAGTGCTCACAGTGTGGGGACAAGTCCTGTGACTGACAGAGAGACAGACACACTCCAGTTAATTATCAAAAACATTTTATTTGTTTATCGTTTGTCTATATTCTCTCTAACGCTACAACTATATTTATTAATTTTGTCTACGTAGAGCACTTAACAGTCCTTCAACCTCTACTCATGTTTAAGTTGGATGCTGGAGTTTAAACACACATTTATAACTCTGTTAATACTGAGGAAAGTCTGTTACACTGGACACCAGTATGCAGAAATATCCAAACAAACTTGGGAAAAATGATACCACATGCAAAAAACTGCATGGTTGTTGCCCAAAAACTATATGAGATTAGCATAAAGTGGGTATGTCTGTAAAGGGGAGACTTGTAGGTACCCATAGAATCCATTTTCATTCAGATATCTTGAGGTCAGAGGTCAAGGGATCCCATTGAAAATGGCAATGCCAGTTTTTCCATCACCAAAATTTAGCCCAACTTTGGAGCGTTATTTAGCCCCCTTCCTAATATGCTAGCATGATATGGTACCAATGGATCCGTTAGGTCATACGATACCAGTATCTTCACTCTAGCTTCAAAACGGCCTAAGAAACACAGTGCGAGTGGAAAAGGTAAGGATTATGGGGGGGCCAATCATATTAGCCAGTGCCACCCCAGGCCCCCCCATTGGACACGCCCCGGACAACAACTGACTAATCATCTGCTGATGAAGACTGTGAGATGCAATCAAAACCTTGGAAATAAGCTAGTCTGCAGACTTTGAGTCAAACTTATTCTGTCAAATGCAAATAGTCAGTATCTAAGTGGAATTTATGTGATGGGTGGTGGTGTCACTTTTCAACTGAACTGTTCTGTTTTTATCAAATGTAAATGATGTAAATACTGCAGTGACAGATTAATAATGAAAAACAATAATAACAGCAACTGTCAAACACAGGCACATAAAACCTGTGAGAGACATCATGCATTAATAGGTTGGTGTGGTCCAATAACCAATTCATGAATTGAAAATCCATTCATTCTAGGTTCATTACATTTTGTTTTGTCATCTCATGCCCTACCCCATTACACAAATTACCATTCACCCAAAAATGCATTTGCAAATAGTCCCGGTGTCCCATCCTCTCTAAAAATATCCATCAAATGTGAGCACCACAGCTTGGAGGCCTGCAGTAGAGATAATGTTCCCGAGGTGTAAACATCCAGCCTTGTCCATCCTACCTGTCTCTGTGTCTCTTGTAGCTGGGCTACCTCCTGCTGCAGCCTCTGAAGCTCGGCCCTCAGCTCCTTCTCCCTCTGACAGGCTCCCTCAGCCTGGTGCCGAGCCCCCTCCAGCTCCGCCTCCAGTCGCTGCAGCTTCAGGTCTGACAGGGCGTCCAGACTGCGGGAGCTCTGCAGCGTCGGCCCACGGCCCTCTGACAGCACCACACACACACACACACACACACACACACACACACACACACACACACACACACACAGTATCAGTCTGTTTCATCTTTACTCCCTGGTTCTAGTTTTTCTTCCAAGTCACTGCTGTACAATGCGACGAATGTTCCTGAATCATTAGTATTGTCTTTTTACATGTTTGTGGTTTGCTGTCATGGCCGGACAAGCTTTGGATTTCTCTGCATGTTGAAGTGGTGTGCATGGAGTTGTAGTAGGAGAGAGAGTCTGGATGGTGGTTTCTCTTTTTTTACCTCCTCCAAAACCAGAAACACAAGACAATGGTGAGGAATGGTGTGTTTAACATGTTCAGCTAACTAGCTTACTACCTACAGTTTTAACCTAACCCAGTGTTATTCCCAATGCCAGGAGCATATCATACTAGCTGTTATATTATATTATAGACTTTCAGGTTAAGACCCATTCAGAACTAGCCCATCCACTGTAGAAGCTGGTCCATGATGCACTACATCAAAGTGTAGGCTTACGTTAACAGCTCTGACCTACTACAGTGAATTTTAGGTTTCCATTACCTGAGATAGCCTTATGTTCGCCAAACACAATGGTTAGTCTTAGTCCTTGTGAAAGTTGCTAAATATAGCTACTTTTGAAGACTTTTTCAGTAAATAGTTATTTTACTCAACCCATATCAATGTTGAGCTTTAATGAACAACTTCCAGTTAGTCCCACCCACATATGGTTTAGGCACCACCAGTGTCGAGTTTAAGCCCCGCCCACTATGAGTACAGATCATTTTGTTGGTTGAACAGATGCAGATACTGGTGTGTTTGCTCATTCCTACAATTACACAGCAAAGTAGTGAAGCAGCTAAACAGCGTTATGTTACAATAAGATACGATTCTGATTTTATACTTTCACTACTACTACTATGACGACCAACTCTACACTGCAATACAAGAACAATGCCATTTGTTTATTAATGTGTTGAAGATGCTGACCTTTTGCCCAGGATCTGTTAGAAGAAAACCACAGTCTTTTCCCATATCATGTACAGTATGTAACCATTAAGTGCAGAGTTCACAACTCAGCTTGAATAATTTAAACGTCTGCCAGAGACAGCATTTTCAACCAACACATGACTCAACTGAAATCTTCAAATGGGATTGTTATTTCAGCCGACAAAGTTAACAACAAATGTCTGAAAACAAATTTCAATGGTAAATCTGCCACTGCTATCATTGTAAACTGCATATGTGTAAATTAAGGAGCAGGCATTAGCAAATGGATTTAGCATTTTTAACTCATAACTGAAACTGAATCTTGTGGTAAAATGAGATTAGAGCATCCATTTGGAAAACCCAATGATTTAAACTAGTACTTTTCACCTGCTGCTATATGACTGCTAGCACTGCTACTTATTATTATATAACTTTCTGCTGTTGTATTTCTCCTCTTACGACTGCTAACACTACCATGATCCAAACAGGACCCACCTCTGGGTACATCCAGGCTGGCGTGGAGTTGAGACTGATGAGCGTCCTTGCTGCGGAGTTGAGCGCTGAGTTTCTGAAGGGAAGTTTCTCTCTGTCTGAGAGCCGACTCCAGACTGCAGATCTGCTCCACATGCTGCTCTGCCAGAGTCGTCTGACACACACACACACACACACACACACACACAAACACACATCATACATGTGAAACTGAAACCCAAAGTGCCGCTGTAGTCCAGTGTGTAGGATTCAGTGGCAACTAGTAGTGTAGTTGCAGATTGCAACTCATTCGCTTCCTCCTCTCCTTCAAAGTGCGAAGGAGAAACTATGGTGGCTACGAAATGTGAATACGAGAACGCCCCTATCTAGTGCCAGTGTTTGGTTTGTCCCTTCTCGGCTACAGTAGAAACATGGCGGTTCAACATGGTAGCCTCCGTAGAAGAGGACCATTCTAAGATGATGAAAACATAATGATTCCTATTTTCAGGTGATTATACACTAATAAATACATACCTATTAATAATGTATTCAATTCCCGCCAATACAGCCTCCTAAATGTTACAATGTTACACTGTAGCATAAAATATTATTATTACAAAGAAACACTGGTGTACGTGTGTGTGTGTGTGTGTGTGTGTGTGTGTGTGTGTGTGTGTGTGTGTGTGTGTGTGTGTGTTTACCATCTTATCTAGGTCTCTCTGGACGTTGCTTTTCTCCAAGTGAATCTTCTCATAAGCCTGGATGACTTCCTCCAACCTCTCCTCTCTCTCCTTACTCTTCTGGAGCTGAGACAGAAAGAGAAAGGAAAACCTCTCAGAATTTGCTTAATCAGGAAACAACTTGGCTCTTTTTTGTTGCTGTTTTTTGTGTTACTCATGAAAACACAGTCCTCAAGTTAATTGCTGAAATCTGCAAAAGAGACATCACTATAGGCAGACAGCAGTCCCTCATTCTTTCGTATTTGCTGATATTTAATTTTAGCCCAATCTCAAAATTCCTAGTTTAGAGGATGATTCTGTCTGAAGTCCTCAACAATGATTGAGGGCAGCTTGGTGCATTCCCATCTTGGCCAATCAGTTCTTCAAGGAAAAAGAGAGGTAGGGAACTGAACCCCAGAGCATTTACGAATGTAGTGATCAAATGTAATAAATCTACAAACATTTTACATTGTGCCTATTTGAAATGCTACTAAGAAGCACAATGGAGAACATTTTATATCGCTAAGTAGATAATATAAAGTGAATTAGTGCCCTTTGAAAATCAGCTAGCAGGACATTGTGCTAAAATAGTGCGCTCCCTTTTGTTTCACTTCTAATGATGGGCTGGCTGCTCGACAATGCTGCCTTCCACGTCCCCAGATTCCAGCAATTATAAGTACAACACTGATAACATTAGAGAGTACCTCCTGAGTGAGAGAGTTGATCCTCTGCTGTAGGTTGGTGGTCTCTGATTGGATTACACTGGTGTCCTTAATGATGGGCTCACAGGAACAGCACAGTGTCCTCTCCTCTCCAAATTCACTGATCATAGGAAACTGGAGGACAGGACAGAAGAGGAGATTGACTCTCCAGAAAATATCACATTCATACCACAAGTGTCTCTGCTCTATTGTATCCTATTGTGTGTGCGTTCATTTGTGAGTACTGTGTGCTGCTCTCCACCTTGACCTCGTAGTGTTTGAGCTTCCTCTTGATGCTGCTGTTCTCCCTCTCCAGACTGGCCAGTCGGGTTTTGATGTCATGATAGGCGGCAGCCAGGGCCAATCCTGACGCCGGGTACATATCCTCCGGCAGCCGATTGGCCGACCAGCTGATCCCGGAGACGCTCACATCATCTCTCAGCCCCTCTCCTCCTCCCAGCAGCCCCAGCTCTCCTCTGCGGAATAGATCCATCATCAGTTAGCTGTAGAAGAGGAAAAAAAGAAGTTGAAGTCAGTCTTTGGCAAATGTAGTGTGGAAAACACAGACTGGATGCTGGGCAGACAGTAAGTCACTTTGCACTCTCCACCTAACACAGCAGGGGCACTAATGGCAATAAATCTGCCGAACCCCATGTCCTGGCAGAGGAGACAGTCAGAGTGAGTGTGTGTGTGTGTGTGTGTGTGTGTGTGTGTGTGTGTGTGTGTGTGTGTGTGTGTGTGTGTGTGTGTGTGTGTGTGTGTGTGTGTGTTTTTTCAAACTTTAGCCAGGAGCCCTCTGAGCCCGCCAGCCAAAGGTTTGGCGTTCCCCATCTGCTGTCTTAAAGTCTCTGCCCTGCCCCCTGCCTCTCACTGGCGGTTTCCATGGTTACTGCGTAAAACTGATCACTTGAAAAATAAGAGGAAGAATCTCATTTCAAAATTACACCTGCCAACGATGGGATCAGTAAGGATTAATGGTGTTATGTTATGTGGGGCATCACTGTACCATCACTTGTGAACAGAAATGGTCGGCCAGTGTGTGTGTGTGTGTGTGTGTGTGTGTGTGTGTGTGTGTGTGTGTGTGTGTAAGAGCTTTGGACCTCCAATATGGTGAACAGGTGTGGTGACATGGTGGTCATGACAGGCTGGATTTGTTGACAAGAATAATATACTGTAAAATAACAACAATCTGTATCCTTTAAAAAAACATAAATAAACAGCTTAAATGTGTTATATGTGTGCGTTTTATAGGGCCCCTCCAGTTTTAGGCAAGTGTGAACTTATTGTGATGTCACCCATTGGTTTGTGGAGTACTGATTTGAAGCCTTGACTTTGGCGTTATGGTCGGTGTTTGTGAAAAGATTAGGGAATGCAGTAACAGAGGGTTGATTCATATTTGACCAGCACTGCCTAGTTTGACAGTTTGAACTGATTTCCGTGCTGGACACACTTAAACATTCTTAAAATTAAATCTCCTCCTTCTCCCATATTGAGAAAAATCAAAACAGAATCTACAACTGATGCACAAGCCAACTGAAAAGTCAATTTTCAGTGTATGTGACCTGGAGATTTCAGGTTTCCACATCACACGTGCGTAAGATGAACACCGAACCATGACTGGCATCCAAACTAACTCTGATGTCATAAAATCCTGCTGGTACTGTACATACACACACTTTAAACTGAGATTTCAGAAGAGCACAGAGAAACTTTCCCTCTTCAGCAGGTGATTGTGAAAACAAACTCTGCACTACATCATTTGTTGAAGTCACAGAAATAGTGTCCATATTTTATTCTGTGGTCTTTATGGATGAGACAGAGGTCTTACTATGTGAAATAAAAAGAACATTTCTCCTTGTGTAGAACAGTCTTCAGATGCTGAGTAGATCTGAGCAGCTGTTTGATGAGGATGGAGCGTGCAGCTCTGCAGTACATTAACATTTCATACATGAACATCTTACACAAGGTTCACAGCAAACTTCCTTTACAACAGCAAACAGCCAAATATGCATTCACAAATCCCCATTCCACAGAATACAGTGTTTTACAATCATGTAACAAAGCAGGCAGTGTTGTTCTTGTGTTATATTTTAACAAAATAACTAAAGACTGTCTTTAACAGAGGAATGAGACCTATATCTATTTCCCTGACAACATACCTCCTTTGGCTGTGTAAATAATGACTGCTGCCTCTGAGAAACAAAAGTGGTATTGGTGTGAGTTGTAGAAGCACAAAACCTCTTGAGCTGTGTTCTGACTGAATGTGAAGTGAATCTTAGAGGCAGTGTGTAAAATGCAAAGACGTGTGTTGACACAAATTATGCAAATGTTCACTGGTTGGCCAAATTGAGGCGAAGACATGTCCACAAGAATTATATATGTTTCCACTTGAGCGAAGTTTATCCTGAGGCTTTATGACTCCACTGTATCAGGGAGGAATATTACACAAAGAACTGGAGTTCCTTGTAGGTTATGAGTATGTGCTGGGCGACAAGCGGGATGAACCAGTATACCGGTTTTAATGTCTTGTATGATACGAATTTTTCATATACCAGTGCATGGTTAGAATCCTAAATAAATACTGTGGTACAATGTTTTTAGCTGACACAGTATGTTGACATATTTTTAAAAATGAAATTGCTCGGGCGCTTCGGTCACCTGGTACTGTAGAGCATTCGTTCCGAGAGACTGGGTTGTGACCCACACATGGGTCGGGGAGACAAATAAATGTGCAGAATTTCTTCCTTATAAAGTCTTTAAAATGTGTACATTGTTGTGATGACGATGGAAGTCCCTCAACTCCCACTGAATGCACTTAAATCGTCTCATTTATAAAGTGAATGTACATTCTGTAAGGAGATGGGGTCTCCAAATTACCACTAATGTGAGGGAAAAAATGAAAGCCTGTTAACTTAAATGCCTTTATTTAGTTAAGGTATTTAAAATGTGTACATTGTTCTACTGATGAGGTAATAAACAAGAGTTTTCCTAAATGCACATATTTTGTCTCATAAAGTGAGCGCACATTCTGTTTGTTTCACTGGGAGCAAAAAAAAGGTTGTCTAATTTATAAGTATTTGTATTTGTAATTTTTTTAAGAAGAAAATGCAGAAATAGCAGCTGAAACGCACATTTCATTTATGCACAAATTTGCTCTTCTCACTGTGAATTGGTTCGCCATGGTTTGTCTTTTTTAAAACATGCGTCCCCAGAGAACAAGTTTGGGAAAATTGTAGAGTGTGCCCCCCCATGTACAAAGGCCTTACCACAGCGGCCTGGTTGGATTTCCGCCCGCAGCCCTTTGTCATTCCCTGTCACTATCTCTCTCTCACCCCTTTCCTGTCTCTGTCCTCAGCAGCTCTTACCTAATAAACGCATAAAAACCATTAAAAAAAAAACAACACACATTTCTATTACAATAAAATAACGAGATACTCCACAACCTGCCAACTACTGAATTACCTCCTGGGGTAGAGTAACCCCTGGCTGGGAATCACTGGTTAAGTTCTGTTGGACATACTGGTGAATTTATATTTAATTAACCTTGATGGGGTTAATCTGCCCCGTGCATCTCACACATTGTTACTGTTAAGGAGCAGCAGTCGCCACATTGCAGTGCTCAAAGGCCAACTCCAGTTCTGAGGCCAGCGACTTGGTTAAGGGCAAGAGCATTTAAACCAATAGAATAATAAAATGTAGGCTGCTGTGATCATTTCAACTGAAGCGGCTCACAAATCGAACTCTCCCTCTCTCTCCTTCACTGATACGCTATTACTCCCATGTTCAGTGTGTGTGTGTGTGTGTGAGTGTGTGTAGAGCCTAAAGGCAGCTGCAGTACAGAGGTCAAAGCATCTCTCTGCAGATAACTCCCACTCTTACAGCCCACAGACTCTGTCTCTCTCACACACACACACATTCAGCCCACACACACAGCACTGTCTATTGTCTATCTAGCTCTTCCTCTACATCTCACTCTCAGTTTTCACTCAGCTCTCTTGACTTTTTTTTTTGCAGGAGCACATACACACACACACACAGTATCAGCCAAGGGCAGATCAGAGCGGGCCATATGTCTTTATCACATGGTTGTTTCATTTATTAATGGACTAACGGTCCGCGTTACCCACAACCCCCCTACGGTCAAACAAAAAACCCACTTGACGGCCTCACCATCATAGTGTGTGCAGATATGGCACCCATGTTGACCACATAACACTAATGAGACTATCAGTGTTTCATTTCATTTACTGTATTTGGTATTTTTCAACAAAGAAAATGCAAAATTAAAGGACAGCACTTTATAAAACAGGAATGATGTTGTAGCAGTCATACTCAACTTCAGGCCGGAGGATGCCAGCTGGCCCTCCGACCACTTTCTAATTCACACTGAAAATAAACTGACTCACACTGGGAATATTTTTGTTTATACCAATTAGTAAAAGTTCAGTAATGCCCCTTGGCAATCTGTGCAGTGCGTAGAAGCGGTGACACTAAATGTGATGCTAAATGTTCACTTACACCTGACATGGCTGCTTCGATTGGATTTAACACTTGGTATAAATGAGTGAGGACAGCAAACGTAGAAAGGCTGACAATGAAAACTCTTTTCAGTGAAAAATGGACAGATGAAATTGCCTTTATTTTGTCACCTGATCCTAATCCTAAATGACTGTGTTTAATTTCCTTCATTTGTTTCATTTACTGTATGCAAGGTCAATATCAGGCACCATCACGAGTCAAAACATGCTTCTCACCTGGTAGCACCACAAGAAAAGCCAAGATTATTTGAGGTTGTCTTATTCTGCCACATCAATGATCCTAATGTTTATTCATTTCATCTGATAAACATTATTATTGTTTGTCATTTGTGTCAAGTGGCCCCCAGGCAAAGCAGGTTGAGTATCCCTGCACTAGAGAAACATGGTTCATAATGGTCATAATTCAGTGGTCATGAGCGTGGGTGATAGTGACAAGTACTTTTCATGTTCCTTTTTTGAACTTCTACTCTTTACCCAAGTATATTTGCGAGCCAGTCCTTTTTACTTTGCTACCTTTGAATTTATACCTTTGTTACAACAGTCTGCTGTGAATGCTGGGAGCTCCTCTGCTGCAGAGGCCAGTTTGCCAGCTTCCTGGAAGAAAACTAAGCACCACCTGTCTTTTGACCATAATGTGATGATGACGGAATAAAACCCAGAACAAGAAGCAGCTTCCAGCAACAATCCCTGAGTACATCTGGCCGCTTTTTAAAAAACAACAGTAACATGAATGGCTGCTGTTCTTCCTGCTTTTAAAAAGTCCTCTTCTAACCTCTGCAAGCACATTGAATCTGCCCTCCAACAGATTTGCATTTCCCACAATTGTATGATATTTATAAAAAAATGTACATTTAGAACGTAGTTTTGAGGACTATATTGACATTTGAATTCACATTTAAAGCAATAGTCGGAGATAATAGCTGCCTGTTGTGGTTGCTTGCTGTTTACTGACCTACCAACTAGAA